CATCGCACAGGATGGCTAGTCGTACTCTGGGTTGTAAATTCCATGAACATGTGCTGGCAAACTTGGCATAGTTCACGATGACATAGTAATCTCAAGAGAGGTTTACTAGCTTCAAAGCGCCAAAGCTTTGGAAATGTTATTTTTTAATGTTAATGCCTGTAATATACCATGTGATTGTAAATTTGGGCCGATGTCATTTGTCTTGAGAAATGATGCATTATTAAAAAGAATTACAAACTTGTTATTTATACCTCGGCAAAATTTATTTCGTGTGATTTTTTTTTTATTTTGGGAGATAGCAAAAATATTTTTATAAACAAGTCGCTTTGATTTTTGGGGGATTATCTTAGGTAATCTACACATACTGCTATGTACGATAATTTATGTAACTATTTGTGTACCTGAATAAACTTGCTTGGCACATTAGGGCAACGGTTAATATTGACACTGACCAGTCACAATGGGTGTAAACAAAGGCAAATATAGTATGTAAACGAAGGTGCGCCAGTACCATATCTACAGGTGGCGAAGTAAGGTTATGTTAGGTTATTTAAAGCTAGGTAAAGTTGAGTTCCATTAGGTTATTTTTCTTACATTTACTCAAAATAAATGTCCTTGACAAAAACCAGCATAATATTGGACATTCGTAGGAATAAATTTTTGCCATAGTTGCATTTGTTATTATTATAATCAAAAGAAGCCATAGTTGCAAACGGACCGGGTCTCCATAAAGTACGTGATTTAAAACTACGTACCATACATTGTGTTGCTACCATAATCTATACGTCATTTGATAGTTTTAAGATTTTATTCAAATTGTTAACCCTGGACGGATAGTATCCCAGGATAACCTAGTAAATTCACTCAGTGTGGCCTATTTCCATTGGTTGACCTTTTTAGGTCCTCCTCCAGGATGCGAACCACTAACTCTAAGGTATTTAATTATCGCTAGGTAAGTGACAGCAGGCGTTATGAGACTTCCTCATACATCATACCCAAGACCTCTGGGGCGAGCCAAGCCTGCAAGCCACTGCCGATGAGGATTCGTTTTGATCAAAAACCGTATTTATTACAGCACTCATTTAGGTTTTTTTTCTAATACTTTTTGTCAATGGGTGAGTTTCACACACACAAGGAAACGAAATCTGTTAAACTGAGCTGGACTCTCCAATAAGGTGATGAGAATATCGGCAAAATGCTGTCAATAAATGCTACAACTGTAGTAATATAATCGCAACCTCACCACTTTCCAACATAGGACAGCTTAAAGAATGCTGTTGCTGTGTTGACATATATTTCATCTTCGTCTTTTCATACTTGTATGTATACTGATGTATTTAATGTGGTACTTCAAAGAGCAGCTCCAAGATGAGTGAGGGTGTGGCCCAAGGTCACTTGCGGGATGGTGGTAGTGGTGGGTCGGGACCAGGTGAGAAAGGTACATCGAACCATGGTAAGATAACACGGTCCAAGTTCAAGCCAGTAGTTGGCCATTATGAGGAGCAACTAACGGAGAAGTTGCAGCGGCCACCACTTCGGCGAGCCTACACTTACGGCTCTGCCCGTAGCAAGAACCAGAACGACAATAAAGAATGGAGTACTTCATTCAGGTTCCTGTGCGGCCAACTTTTCTCACGTGGTCGCTTCTGCTTTTAAGGCACTCCTACGCATTTATTATGGTGGCTACTGCTGCTACCATCACCTTTATGACTGTTCTCGTTACCTCTGCTATGCTTACTGCGTATAACTAAGTCCTTAAATTAACAATAAGACAATTTTAAGGAAGATTATACTTTCCTAAGTAAAATTAAATTTTATTTACACAAAGAGGAGTGAATAACTTTCTTTTATTTACTGTTAATCACTGAGCTTAACGAGTGACCTTTTCCTGATTTACCATATTGTCAATAATCTGCTCACAATTGGAAATTTGAACTTTGCCAATAGCTCTCCTTCTGTAGTTACAAGTAGATAATCACGTAGGCATCATGTATTAATTATCTGATTACTGCTAGATATTGCTCAGCCAGAGAAGCGAGATCCACTAGTGAGCAGATTTCTGCTCCCTTGTACGTTTTGCCAAGTTTAGCTTGCATTGAATTTTGCTATTTTAATCCCGTTAAAACGCTAAACCTGTAGGGGTCAAAAAGCTCTTGGGAAATAAGAAGCATTCAGGTTCGATCCAAAGAAGGGGAGGTTGTCCATTTCCTTGGATCAAGAGTTTTATAAGATTTAAATGTGTATGACCGTGACTATAATATGCGTGTTTCCCTTTAGGAACGTACCCAATGTCTTGATACATCTGGAATCTGATTGCCTCCCATTTCCCTGTCGCTATATGACCCCTGCGGATTAACGCTTTATATTGATTATTTTTATATTGTGCTTTATTATTATTACGCTATTTTCTATTAAATCATTGTTTATAAAGGAAATTCTAGTAATCCTCGTAGCAAGACTGACTTTGTAGCTTACAGTCGGAAGCAGTTAATAATGTCGTACTAGTTTCTATGTAAATTTAAATACAGTAATTGGAAGTCAGTTTTCTGTTTTAACTGTCGAGAGCTGAACGGGGCAGCGGTGTCTCCTTTTGTGTGTGTGTACTCACCTATTTGTGGTTGCAGGGGTCGATTCACAGCTCCTGCCCCCGCCTCTTCGCTGATTGCTACTAATTAATATTTATTCTATATAGTTTAGCTATTAGTTCATCTGGCTCTGAAATTTACTTAGGCGTATAATTGCTTTCTACAATGGTTCAGTGATGTCATCTAGGTCTGTAATAAAGTTTATTAATTATTAATCAAAAGTGAGGACTAGTTGATGGAATAACCCTCACACTGAGGCATCGTACAGCACACTGTAATATAACTTACACTAAACAACAGTCACCCAGTCTTTCCTCAAAGGAGGAGGTCAGAGAGCAGGACGTCTGGTTTTACTGGGGTTTAATTCTGAGTTCCACCTGACTGTCCCCTCAAGGGAGGTTCCTTGACGCTGGTGAGGGGCTCTTGATCTTGGGAATTTGATCTGTGCTCCAGTTCCCTGAATTGAGCCTGAATACCTTCCATCCCCCCCGCTACAGGCGCTGTATAATACCTACGGGTTTAGCGCTCCCCATTTTACAAGTGGACGTCTCGACCACTGCCATGAGCATCAGTGGCAAATTTTCCGTTTTCTTCCGTGGCACGTCTGTCCTTCATGCTCTGGTCAGTTAATCAGGCAGCCATTCCTCAGCTCCTAGGTCTGGTAATTTTTTTTTAACTCGGGGAATGGGTGTAAGAGGAGATCTAACACCATGGTTATAATTATAACCTTAATTTTTTAAGGAATGGACAGATAGGCCAGTGGAAAGCCTTGGACAGATGACCGAAACCTCATCATGTGCTAAGACCCACGCCAGAAAACACTTATCCTGTTTCCTGGCGTATAAACACGCTAACAAAAACTTTATATAAAATGGAAGACAGTATATTATACAGTTAGGGTGACTGAAAAAAAATACTTTATAGAAAATCCCCCATTTTATGCATAGCATTTCTAACTCTGCCGAGGTTTAGGCAAGGGGGAAGTTTACTTGACCAATTGGGACCATGTTCCCGTTTCTGATTTTGGAGGAACTTTGTTTCTTCATTTCCAGTCCGGATCTGGGCAATGTATATTTTTCTGAACTCCTGTGAGAGAGTGAGAGCTCAGTAAAGCGTAAGCTTTAGTTGCCCTCAAAACTCATTACTAGAGAGGTGCCTTGATGAGGGTGAAGGGCTTTTGAGTGGACCTTTCCTTCCGTTCTCTGGATCAGACCTGATTGCCTCCCATTTCCCAGGCCCTGCATAATCCCTTAGGGATTAGTGCTTCCCCGTAATTATAATTACCTTCTATCAACTCCATCCTTGACTTGCAATAATCAGTACTTAACGTACAAGTTATCATAGCTTATCCATATAGTTTACTCTAGAAGTTGCCATGCTGACCTGTTATGTGCAGATAACACAAAGTTCTAAAGGAACCCAGGCCGTCAGCTGTATTACAAGTTTATATGTGGGTTTAGTACACTAGAGATTTTTAAAGTGGTCTTAGAGTAACTTTTATGTAAATAAACCTAGGGTAACCCAATATTGTATAGTCTGACGTTGGCTTATCCTGCTAAGATAATATTGCATGATCATTCCCTTCCCCCAAAAATAATTTGGCTGTCCCTTTGATTCAACAGACTAAAAGTTGCATTTTGAAGAAATTTCTGTTGGATTATTACTCAGAAGTGTTACTATCAGTAACCATCTAGTTAGTACTCGCATCTATGGCATTTAATCTGACCCCATGCAAATAACTTGGTGAGAAGTGTGTGTGAATCTCTTAGTTACATAAAAAATCAGTCATCTGAGCAAATTTGATACTGTTAACTAAATCTGTATTAAACAACTTGTTCTTATTTTCATAATGTATGCCTTCTTAGTTTGCTTCAACACAAATTAACTTGTAGCTGTGAGAACAAATAATATCCTCACATATAAGATAAAATAAACTTGTTTCTGAAAAATTAAAAATTTTTTGAACACTGTAACTGTACAATGGCACTCCCCATCCTTGCTTAACCTAGTGTAACTAACAGTTTGGGCATATTTTGAAATACTTGTACTGTATATGAAGATGTGTCCTTTATGTAAGGATACTGTGTGTTCTTATGGCTGTAAGTTTTTAATTTCAATTTTTGTCAGAGCCATATGAATGATAGCAGGTTGGTAAATTAGAAAGGTCTTTCTTTACCTGAAGCTGTCTCAGTTTTACATATTCAAGAGTACATGTCATTAACTTACCATATGGTTTTAAGTAGCTTATATGTCATAGTGCAGTTATAGCTGCATTAAACCTTACTAGTACTATGTAATCATTTCCTCTAAATACTCACAACTCTCCAGATAACCTAGTTTAAAGGTCATAGATATGAGAGAAGAATAGCATTTTCATTTATGTGCATCGTCTAAGGCATTTCTGCTCCTCCACAGGAAGCTGACCAACTTCTTCAAGATGGGTGTTCAGGATGGAGCAGGAGTGGTGGCTCAGGAGCCCCAGGCCCAGGTGTACAGCTCTGCTCCCTTGACCACTTCCATCAACTCTACAACAAGCTCTGAAGCCAAGGTCAGTGCATATACATGTATAATGTTATAGCATTATATGGTGGTGGCTCATAGTTCACAACAGAAGGATCAGTGTGTTTGTTCACATGTTTTTTAAACCACTTGTTGGTATACGTTATAAAGGAGTATGAGGATGTGTTTCTTTAAGATACCTACTTTCCGATGTTCACCCATCAGTAAAATAGGTACCTGGGTGTTAATTGACTGTTGTGGGTTGCATCCTGGGACAAAATTGACCTAATTTGCCCAAAATGCTCTGCATAAGAAGTGGCTTTCTCTATAGTAGTAGATTGTCATTGATGTCAACTAGGCCTGTATACCTTGTACATGTAGAAATAGTTATTATTTTCTGAATTTTTCTTTGTGCTTGGTTAGTTGAGGGTTTTTCATTGGTGTTCAGTACTGAATTATTGGTTACATATACTATATGATACCATCTGCTTTTTCATGGTTAACACTTCTGACCTTGGTTTTCCCTATTGAAAGGGATAAAAAACATTCTTATGCTTTTTTTTTCTCTCATATCTGTCTGCAATTTTATTTGTGGCCTAATCATTCTCTTATCTGTCAACAAGGTAATTTTCAGTAGTTTCCTTATTTCTTTTTAATTCATAATTTTTCTCTTTGAATCTGCATTTCATCTGTTCATAGTTGTATATATAGTACATATATAGTTTCTTTGCAGTCCACTCTATTGTGTAATTACAGTGCTTATTTATAATTATCATTTAATTTTCTTGAGGATGAGGCACCAATTTAAATTTTGACTGACCTAATAAACTTCGTTATTTTTGGTTTTGAGCCCTTTCATGGAATTAGCCTTTACTGAATCATTGTTGAGGTTATTTCACTTCTGTACAACTCTTGTGCTATGAAAGCTTTTTTTTTTTTTTTTTTTTCCATAGTTCGGCTTATTAATTATTGGGTAAGTTGCATTGTTAAATATTTTTAAAGATGCAGGCAAACTTGATTCTTTAAGACTACTTTTGTGTATCTTTAAATACAGGTTACTAGCATTACCAAAGTGGGTACCGGGGCAGGGAATGGTTTTATCCAGCAACAGCCCCAAGTTAGAGTACTCACCCTGAACCATGGGGATCATCTTGACTCTACACTGTTTCGTCTACAAAAAGGTGTGTGGACATTTTTTTTTTTTTTTTTTTTTTTTACATCTATAGATTATTAAAAAAATCTGAAACAAAGTTGACATAGTCATAGTTGCTGTTTGCAGATAGCAATCTTTTTGGGAGATTCTAAAGAGAAGAATAAAAAGGTAATACTATTATTGGAACAATGTACAAATAACCTGCATGTAGAAGACTGAAACTTATGACAATATTTTGGTCTGATTTGCATAGCTTGCTAGAGATGTTTGGAAGGGCATGCAGAAGGAAGAAATTAAAAGTGAACTTAAAAATTAGCAAGGTGATGAGAGTAACAAAAATGTTTAAGCAATGAAATATTGGATATCAGCTTGAAGAAAGGGGTAAATAAACAAGTAATTAAATTTTTTTGAAAATGTGCATAATGGTTATAAAATTAAGTGAAATTTAATTCATATGTTTTGAAAAGCCCCTGGTTATGGAACGTATTTTGAGCAGACTAAAAATAGAACTTAAAATGACTTGACATTGTTTGGTGGGAGATCATTGAATGAACATATTGTCTGAAGATAATTAAATGTAACGCTTAATTTTAGTAACAAAAAAAATCTGTATGTAAAAAAAAAAAGATGTTAATATGAAAAGACGTTAAGGTAAAATTGTGTTGAAAATTTTAGTTATTTCTTTGCACTCTGCCTATGTAGCTTGTTCAGCCCTTGTTAATAAAGAACTCCTGGAAAAAGTGGCAGTTATATGCCAGGTCTGCATACCCTGTACATTGGGTTTAAAATCTACATTTATTTTTATTTATTTTTTTATCACACTGGCCGATTCCCACCAAGGCAGGGTGGCCCGAAAAAGAAAAACTTTCACCATCATTCACTCCATCACTGTCTTGCCAGAAGGGTGCTTTACACTACAGTTTTTAAACTGCAACATTAACACCCCTCCTTCAGAGTGCAGGCACTGTACTTCCCATCTCCAGGACTCAAGTCTGGCCTGCCAGTTTCCCTGAACCCCTTCATAAATGTTACTTTGCTCACACTCCAACAGCACGTCAGCTATTAAAAACCATTCGTCTCCATTCACTCCTATCAAACACGCTCACGCACGCCTGCTGGAAGTCCAAGCCCCTCGCACACAAAACCTCCTTTACCCCCTCCCTCCAACCTTTCCTAGGCCGACCGCTACCCTGCCTTCCTTCCACTACAGACTGATACACTCTTGAAGTCATTCTGTTTCGCTCCAGTCTCTCTACATGTCCGAACCACCTCAACAACCCTTCCTCAGCCCTCTGGACAACAGTTTTGGTAATCCCGCATCTCCTCCTAACTTCCAAACTACGAATTCTCTGCATTATATTCACACCACACATTGCCCTCAGACATGACATCTCCACTGCCTCCAGCCTTCTCCTCGCTGCAACATTAATCACCCATGCTTCACACCCATATAAGAGTGTTGGTAAAACTATACTCTCATACATTCCCCTCTTTGCCTCCAAGGACAAAGTTCTTTGTCTCCACAGACTCCTAAGTGCACCACTCACCCTTTTCCCCTCATCAATTCTATGATTCACCTCATCCTTCATAGACCCATCTGCTGACACGTCCACTCCCAAATATCTGAATACATTCACCTCCTCCATACTCTCTCCCTCCAATCTGATATCCAATCTTTCATCACCTAATATTTTTATCCTCATAACCTTACTCTTTCCTGTATTCATTTTAATTTTCTTCTCTTGCACACCCTACCAAATTCATCCACCAATCTCTGCAACTTCTCTTCAGAATCTCCCAAGAGCACAGTGTCATCAGCAAAGAGCAACTGTGACAACTCCCACTTTGTGTGATTTTTTATCTTTTAACTCCACGCCTCTTGTCAAGACCCTCGCATTTACTTCTCTTACAACCCCATCTATAAATATATTAAACAACCACGGTGACATCACACATCCTTGTCTAAGGCCTACTTTTACTGGGAAATAATTTCCCTCTTTCCTATGTACTCTAACTTGAGCCTCACTATCCTCGTAAAAACTCTTCACTGCTTTCAGTAACCTACCTCCTACACCATACACCTGCAACATCTGCCACATTGCCCCCCTATCCACCCTGTCATACGCCTTTTCCAAATCCATAAATGCCACAAAGACCTCTTTAGCCTTATCTAAATACTGTTCACTTATGTTTCACTGTAAACACCTGGTCCACACACCCTCTACCTTTCCTAAAGCCTCCTTGTTCATCTGCTATCCTATTCTCCGTCTTCCTCTTAATTCTTTCAATAATAACTCTACCATACACTTTACCAGGTATACTCAACACTTATCCCCCTATAATTTTTGCACTCTTTTGTCCCCTTTGCCTTTATACAAAGGAACTATGCATGCTCTCTGCCAATCCCTAGGTACCTTACCCTCTTCCATACATTTATTAAATAATTGCACCAACCACTCCAAAACTATATCCCCACCTGCTTTTAACATTTCTATCTTTATCCCATCAATCCCGGCTGCCTTACCCCCTTTCATTTTACCTACTGCCTCATTTAACTTTCTTAATTTTTTTACTTAAGCATTCCATTGTACTTAGACTACCTTTGATATTATTTTACTCTCAGGATGGGTTCTTCAGCTCCGCCCAGGCCCATCTCTGCTGGGAAGAGCTGTCAATGTCTTCACTAACCACCCAGAAGATATAGATGAAGGCTTCTCTCGCACCCATTATAGACGACTTCAGTGGAAAAGTGATTCGCGTAATAAGGGTGATGATACAGCACTATATGTTGAAGTTGTTATTCTGATGGCTGGATCCTTCCACTACTATTTCACTTATGAAGATGGGTATGTTCTTGTGTTATATGATTGTTAATGTTATTTAAAGTCTATCATACAGTAGTAATTTCTTTTTTTTTTTTTTACATCACCAATATCTTGTTACCCTTGGTAACTATGCTTTTAGGCAGTTACTGCAGAATCGACTGCATTTTTAAAAAAATTGCAGAAAATTCCACACTCCTTAAGTATTATATTGTGAAACTTATCTTGCAACAAGAGAATTGTAATACAGTATATAAAGGGAAGGGGTTTCATTGCAAAGATATATATATAAATGAGTAAGAAGAGAAACAATAAGAAATACCATTGCAAATATATATATAAATGAGTAAGAAGAGAAACAATAAGAAATACCTAACTGAAGACTCAAAAAAGATTGACAAAGTTTGGAAAAAAAATCATTCACTGAAAGTACCATCTGGAGGTTTGGAAATTGTAGGCCACCACCACTAGATTGCACTATACTGAGTGTAATTTAGGATATGAAACTCAGTGGGGGGGGGATGAGCTGCATACTTTCTTCATGCAGTAGTGCTTTACTGAACATCTTAGACCAACTAGGTGCAACTGGGATACATTAAGTAATTGTATTTCATAGTGTTAAATCTGTGTGGGTCATTCAATGAAGTCTACTTGAAAGGCATGATCATCTGGCCACTAATCACGACCTGATCTCTAGTCGCTCAGGCTCTTAGTACAGAAATATTAGTTTCTTTTAAGCTATATTAACTGTGCTTCTGTACAAGATAGTGTATAATTTGTAACAATTTTAATATAATTTAAAAATAAACCATTTTATCTTGCTGCTGCTGCTGTTAATGAATTTATCATATGCTTAGACAGGAGCTTGTGTATAGTGTTTTGTAATTTTGTTCCAACAGTGAGGATCGGGAGAAGGCTCAGGGCTCTGGCTTTTTCCTTGTGGATCCAACTCTGACAGTCGGCCTTAATGATGAAGTGTTGAATCAAGATTGTGTTCAGTGTCAAACAGTATTATCAAAATGCCTAGGACCTATACCAGATTGGGAACAAAGACTGCAAGTAGCTTATGAAACAGGTTACAACATGATTCACTTCACACCCATCCAGGTATTCAATAAAAAAAAAAAAAAAATCCAATTTATCCCTGTGTATACAGTGACCTTTTACTTTTTATAGTGTAGAAGTAAGTGACCTTTATAGACTGGACATACTGTTGAAGTGTAAGTACGGTAATACGTACCTATTACAGGATTCGGAGAAACTACCATATTTAGGCGAAGTTGTGAAGTTCAGTGTCTTCCCTTTGATGGGGATTTTATGGTTCATTGTCATCATTGGACTGTAATGTCTGCTGTTCTGGAAATGTAGCTAGGAAGCAAATGAAGGTTAAAGAGTTTGTCACTGTACCATGAAGGGAAACAGCCATAGATAAGCAAAAGAGGCCAGGAGCTGTGACTTGAACCCTGCAACCACAGTTAGGCAAATTAGGAATCTGATTATTTTTTGTATGGCTGTGAGGGGAAAGAAACTAAAAAAAAAAAAAAAAAAAAAAAAAAAACAGTAGTAAATAAAACTTTTATTAGTGTATATTATGTGGTATTTTCAAGATAATAGTAATTTTTTGTAGTCTGGAATACATTTAGTAGAAATGTGCAAAATGTGCACAACAGTCTGTTGTGGCTTGGATGCTGTCTGATAACTGAAGCCTACCAGTGGGTCTTTAAATTTAGTTTTCTTTTCATTATTGTTTAAAGCTATATTTTGTAGATTGTATAAGAGGAGTGTGCCTGACAGATAGCTTGTTGAATATGCATAGCACAGGAAAATTAGCTTTATGGGCAGGATGAATTTAAAGCTACTTTTATTCTGCATGACTTGCAAATAAGTATTTTTATTGAACATTTTATTTTTTTTCATACCTGCATTATTCTGTAGTTAGAATGAAGATACTGTGATGGAGTTGCATGTTTTTCTAAAATCATGGAAAGATTGAAGATAGTTGAGCATTGGATCTTTCTTAAAATTTCCTCTAATGTTTATTCATCCTTAATATAATTCCAGGAACTTGGCGAATCCAATTCATCATACTCTCTAAAAGACCAACATAGCCTCAATACAGAATTCCACACTCCTGACCATCAGTATAGTTTTGCTGATGTTGAATCTCTGGTGAAAAAGATGAAGGAAGAATGGAAGGTAGGATATGTTTGTACCTAGTTGAGTTTTAAAGTTCTGAGCTTCAGCGCTTTAGTTGTCTTAGTTTTTCTGTAGACTCATCTTGTCATGTGGATAATTTCAGCTTCTTTTTTTCTGCCTTACTTCCCTATTATTAGTGACTTTGTTAGGTGTGGGGGACTAGCTCTTGATCATCTCTTAACTTTCAGCTGACTGACCTGAAATAGCTTTGTCATGCCTCACGAAATCATAATAAAATGATTGTAAACAAATCGCAGAATGGATGGGGCTCGAATCCAAGGCAGGCAAGTCCTAAAAATTACAGGTCATTGTGCTTGCCATTGGACCAGTTAACTTTAATAGGATTCATCCAATTAGATTTACTTCTATACACCTTGGGCCCCACTGTGACCACAAGTGCAGGTTTTTACAGATAAACCCCACACCAGTATAGCTGTGTTGTGCTATTGCTCCCTTCAAAGCCATGTCATATCCACTACATTTGAACCTCTATATAATCAGCTTCTGTCATTGTCGAGATTAGTGTTTAACTTTTAACTTTCGTGAGAGCACGTGCTTAAATGTGGATAATTTTCAGAAAACTTCTTTCATTTGATCTTTCACAGAGTTTTTCTGTTTGACACAGGTTACATGATGTGTGTAGCTTTCTTATTAGTTAGTGTATATACAACAAAGTTTTGATTTTAATGTATGTAGATAATTTTAGATTTAAATCTTTAAGATTAAAACATGATTGCAAGAAATGCATGCTAAACTAGTTTAAATTTATGCATATTTTCCTAGACTTAATGTTTACCCAATGCAGTCATGGTGACTAGTATTATGAAATGCAGGAAATAGTCAGTTAGAGAAACTTAATATATATTTGTATTTTGTTATTTTCTCAGATGTTGTCCCTGACTGATGTAGTGCTGAACCACACAGCCAATGAGTCTCCGTGGCTTCAAGAACACCCTGAGGCCACATACAACTGTAGCAACTCTCCTTATCTCCGTCCTGCATATCTCTTGGACCGTGCTCTCTACCACATGACTCTTGAAGTGGCTGAAGAAAAATGGGAACATCAGGGTATTCCAGTAGCCATCAGAGAAGAAAAACACCTGGAGGTAAGTTACTTCTGACTAATTCAGAGTTTTGGATTTCCTTTTTCCCTCACAACTCGTACACACAATTCCACGTTGATACAACTTTTATCCATGGATTCCACACTTGTCTTCTCTTCTAATTAGCTATTTTAAAATGCTCATCACTGTTGCCTCCTTCCACCATGAGGAGTTGTATACAGTATTTTGTCATTGTTGCCTGTGTATTCTTTCCTCTAACCTGCTTTCTCTTAACTTTCTGTCTAGAGCCCTTGGAGGAATCTTTTCTTGGCTATCCTTGCCATAACTTTATTTTAACAAGTTAATACGAGAGGTTTGTCAAGGTGCAGCAGTGTAAATAGTGGGCTCATGTGTTAGAGAAAAATTAAATGTGGCATACTAAGTCACTTTCAATTAAGAAATCTGAGAAAGCATGCATTGTTTCCTATCTTCACACTGTGCTGCTCCCTTCAATTCTTTGTCCTTCCAAGACTATAAACTACAATTTGAGAATAATTGGACACTTAGTCTTAGATGGAAGTAATAAATCTTTTTATACATATGATGTGTTAATTTTTAATATTTATTATTTAGAAAACCTAATACTTTCAATCTATTATTTCTAGGCCATAAAAAATGCACTGCACAGCCATTTCCTACCTCAAGTAAAACTTCACGAGTTCTACACTTTGGACGTAAGTAAGATTGTTGACGAATTTCGTCGTAGAATCTCTGGACCAGTCCCCTCCACTAAGAAACCTACTGATGAGACTTCAAAGGAAACATTGGTGATCATTCAGGACCCCCAGTATGGAAGAAAGACATGTACAATTGATATGAATATTGCAGTTAGACTCTACAATAAGCCCAGGTATTGTTTTTTTGCTTAACTTTCTTGGTTTTTATTTTGGTTGGATGACCCCCCATTTAAAAAAGTTGACTCTTACCATTCATCAATACCGTATACTATACTAGCACAAAAAAATTCCATGGTTAATTGTTCTTTAGTAATTTAAAGCCTCTTTAAGAAATTAGCAAAATGTGTTTGAGTGTACCATTCTTAATGTTTGGGTTGGGATCTCTTATTCTTCTGATTATGTATTATGAGCTATGTTTATTTTGAGATTTTGGTAACCTTTTCTTGTATTTTCCTAGTGAGTCGAATGTGAAGACCCTCCAGGGTAGTGGGTAAGTTTCAGTTCAGATTCGGGAAATTGGCTTAAAGCGAATCTTATGCTTTTAGGACATGAAGAATAATATTCCTTTGATTGGTATTTTGTTTTTTAACATACTTACGTTTTACCCCAAAACAGTTTTTGAAATTAACCTGGGTTTTCTTGGTTTTGTTTATTTTCGGAAAAGTATCAGTGGTTGTTCAATAATGTAATTGATTTGCGCTTCTTATACAGTAAACCCGGTCACCTGTACATAAGGCATGAGCTCAACAGGTAGTTCCTGGCTGTATATTTTTTTGCTTATCCTAATGGGATTTCTAACCTGTTTGTTAGTGACTACTAAGGTTGTGGAATACTAGTATCAACCATGCCAAACTATTTTAATATTTATTTAGCAGCCTGACACCAGGCAATATTTTTCAAATTATGTACTGTACTTGGCTGTAACAAAAGTAACCCATATTGAAGGGATTTCAAAAGCAAATATGTATTTTGGAACAAAAGACAGGTGTATTAGAGATGCTTAGTGTCAATGGATAGTTGAGTAATAGGAAGAGGATGAAAATGATTAAAATAAAGTGTAAAAGTTTAGGAAAGAGGGCATGTTAAATTTTTAAAGAAGTTTTAAAAGGAGAATAGTGTTCAAAGAAGGTTGTAAAAACTTCTCTGTATTACTTGAACTGGAGCCTTTGAGGGATGGGAAGATAAATTTTACATTGCCTTATAAATACATAAATGAAGAGCAGAGTATGTTATAAAGACTAAGTCTGTAGATTCAGGAGTACATATATTGTGAATTTGTTTTATTTACCCTATTTTTTCTATACAAGTTATTGACTTGAATACTGCATCAAAGTTTGTTAGATACCTTACTCACACTGAATTGATAAGGAAATCACAATAAAATAAAAATACTATACTTTAATTAATGAGAATGGTTGGACATGGTTGACCAGATAAACATAGATGTTGAACAGATATCTCTCTCCCTTGTACTTCTTTCATTATTTTTTTCTGGAAAAGTGAATGAGCTGTCTGGAAATTGTAGCCAAAGGACTAGCTCAAAACCAACTTTTAACTCTTCACTTAATATGTGTGACGAGAAGGATGCAGCTAAGGATACATAGTGAATTGGTTAGCTAAGGATACACAATGAATCACTTACTGATGACATTGTTGATATTGTAATTATTTGATTTAGTGAGAAGGCAGAGCTTATAAAGGAATACTTTTAACTGTTGATACTATTGATGAACATTGCTAATGTTACTGAAATGGGGTTGACGTAATGTAGGAGGTACATTTAGAAATTTCAGTACAGTATTCCTTAAGACAAGGGCAAGACAAGAGTTATTGATTTAGTTTCCTTATAAAAGAAAATGTACTCTTAGGTGAGCATGTTTAAGTGGTGTATCTACCTAGATTATTAAATGGAGAATAGCACCTCCACCACTCCTTACACTGAGTGACTAGTACATTCCTAGTGCTTCATTGTCAGAAAAAGTTAAAAGTGCTTGTAAAATGGAAAAAAAAAAGATTAATGAAACTACCTTTGTGAACTAAATGAAAAGTTTTTCATTTAGGTAATTTAGATACTGTATTTTGAATCTAGAAAATTTGCTGTTCATGGATGAATGCAGATTTATGTGAAAATTTATGCAAGGAAACTGTATTGAGGATTTTGTGAAGCTAGATTTTATATGTATGTTTAAAAAAAAACAGCTGAATCTTCTAGAAAATTAGGGTAGTAGATCATCTAATCTTAAAAAATCATTTAAATGTTAGCTTATATTAGGTATTAAATAATAGAATAACAATGACTAATAACATTTCTGTGCAGTAATAATGTGAAATATGGATGTTGTGGAAAAACTGAAAAAAATAAAAGGAGTGAATGTAATTGTGAATACTACAGAAATGTAAATTTCAGTACTGTACTGTGCTTGAATAAAATATTATGTTAGATAAAAAAAACATTAAACTCAAGTTGTTTGTAATACAGCACATGGAAAAGGCAGATTACAATATTAATTAGATGGTAGAATATTTTGGTTTAGCATAATTATTTTTATATTTGGTTTGATCAAAAGAAGGGGAGGGTTGCTCCAATTCCTCGACTAAAGAGCCCTTCAGCAGTATTAAGGCATGCTCCTTTGAAGGGAATAGTATGATTAAAGGGTGAGCTTTGCAAGTTGTGAAATTTACTGTCCAGTTGTAATATACCTTAGATTGAAAAAGCAGGGAAGAACTAGGCCATGTATTGCATACTGGGTTTATGAAAGTTTGAGAGGAAAAAAGGAAAATTGACTTCAAGAAGGTTATAATGCCTTCATATCTTATACTTGAGTAGTGATATACTCTACTGATTTTGATTTGATACTGATTCATTTAAAGATCTGTTACATTCTTTATTACATTTTTAAATTAGGCCCAGCACAGTACATCTGTTCGACTACATAGATGGGTGTAGATTGAGTCTATAGATCGGACTGGCTACTCATTTTATTTTTAACACCGGCTGTTACTCACCAAATTAAGGTGACCCAAAGAAGCACACACATTCACCATCACTCATTTTCTGTCTTTCCAGAATATAGCTAGAGAATGAGGGATGGTGAATGTTTCCTTCTTTAGGTCACCTTCCCTCAGTTGTAAATTGCTGATGTGTTGTAAAAAATTATGCTAAGTAAAATTTTTTTTATGGCATACAAATTCTACTCTTGGGTACAGTAATTTTTGTGTACAAATTTCAGCACTAAAATAGATTTTATACTGAAGCTTTATTTTTCCTAATATAGATTTTAATTTATAGATCTGAAGCCCGTGATGAGGAAGACCGTATTATGCGTTGCTGTGCTGAATTCCGTCAACATTTGGAGACCCTTAATGAGCAGCGCACAAGTGAGATCCAGGCACACCTCATCCAGGCTGTTGAGTGTTGTCTGGGTACTGTTCGGTAAGACCATTCTACATCATATCTTGGTACATGAAACATTTCCAATTTTTATTGGACTATATAATTATGTTGAATGATGATGAAAGCATTTTCTTTTTGGGGATTTTCTTTCTTTTTTGGGTCACCCTGCCTCGGTGGGAGACAGCCAACTTGTTGAAAAAAAAAAATTATCAAATGAGAATAATAGAGCTTCATGATGTTTTTTGTTATTTTACTCTCATATAACTGTGTAAAAAATTAGGGTGTAAAAGGTCAGTTAATCCATGCATGTTGTAAGAGGCGACTAAAATGATGGGAGCAAGGAGCTAGTAACCCCTTCTCCTGTATACATTACTAAAGTTAAAAAGAGAAACTTTGGCTTTTCTTTTTGGGCCACCCTGCCTCGGTGGGATACAGCCAGTGCATTGAAAGAAGAAGAATAATTGAAGTTAATAAGAATTTATAAATTCCAGATACCAGCGCCTTCAACCTGATGGGCCAATGATTGCCGAAGTGTCAGAAGAGAATCCATTAGTTCCTCCGTAAGTTTAACTGCCTTTTTATCATGGTTTATCAAGCATTAGTTAATGAGTTATTTTAATCATGTAGAAGAACTATTTTGTGCGTGGAATTTAGGTAAAATTAGCAATAATTTAGCCATGTTTATTAAAATAAGTGACTTTAAGTACATATGTGGACTAATTTTTAGGTTAAATGAGGGCAATCATTTTGGGTAGATGCCTCAATGCTGGTGAAGGGCTCTTGATCCAAGGAATAGTGGCTACCCCCCTTTCCTTGGATCACACCGTTATGTCTCCTGCGGGTTCAGCACTCCCTCGTGAAATACAATATATGAAGACCCACAGTCAATACCAGTAATATGATTTTGAAAGAGTTGGTACTACACTACACAGAAAAATGAAAGAGCAGCAGACTTTTGAAGTAAAATAAAACTGCTTGTTTATGAATTACTTAAGACTTGACAAATACTGTAAATCATAGACCTGACAGAAAGTATTTATGAAGCCACTTTATTTTATGGTACTCTGTTCAATATATGTATTTACCATTCACTTGAAATAATTTGTTAGAATAAAACAGTTTATAATTTAAAAATGAGCATTATTCTGCATTAAGAATATCATGCCCTTTGGTAATTTTGAATACAGTGTAGCACATATTCTTATAGTAGGTTACCCATCAGTCTGTCTTGTTAGAATAAATGAATTTAGCTGTGTCATACAGTTCACTGCTTAATCTAATTATCATATATACACCTCACAGAGTGTTGGACACCCTTATGATTGACAGTATCCTTTCCCAAATGTGGTGACTCAAACTGCATGCAATAATCTACAGTGGTATGCACATAGAATTTGCACAGTAGCCAATAAAGCTTAAAATTCTGTTTACCTACTTTACTCTTAATACACTGCCTGTTGTTTAGAAAGACGTACCTTTATCTTTGAGTTTCAAGAGTTTTTCTACTCTTGAAGCTTGGACCTGGGCCAGGCTTATATGGTGCTTGCCTTGTTACCCAGGCTGTTGCTGCTTCACATATTTATTTTTCATTATGATGCAGTGCTATGGTAGGTTTAATTATTGGTAAGAGCTTATTTAAATATGCAGATGGCTGACTTCTCCATGGGGAAGTGTAACAGAAATCTTCCCCTGTAAGCCATGCGCTTAGTAAGAGGCGACTAAAATGCCAGGAGTGTGGTGAAAGTGTTGAATGATGATGAAAGTATTTTCTTTTTGGGGATTTTCTTTCTTTTTTTTGGGTCACCCTGCCTCGGTGGGATACGGGCAGTGCTTTCAAAGAAAGATGCAGATAATTTTTTTAAATATATAGATCAATGCTGCCATGGTGGGATTCGAACGATGAAGTTGAAAAAAGGCAAATCATGCATATTGTTAGAAATATTACAAATTATACAATTTGGTTATGTACCATAATTAAAGTAGTTAATTAGTCGGACTTGAGTCCTGGAAATGGGAAGTACAATGCCTGCACTTTAAAGGAGGGGTTTGGGATATTGGCAGTTTGGAGGGATATGTTGTGTATCTTTATATGTGTATGCTTCTAGACTGTTGTATTCTGAGCACCTTTGCAAAAACAGTGATAATGTGCGAGTGTGGTGAAAGTGTTGAATGATGATGAAAGTATTTTCTTTTTGGGGATTTTCTTTCTTTTTTGGGTTACCCTGCCTCGGTGGGAGACGGCCGACTTGTTGAAAAAAAAAAAAAAAAAAATTAGAAAAGGCATATGATAGTGGATAGAGGAGCAATGTGGCAGATGTTGCAAGTATATGGAATAGGTGGTAAGTTATTAAATGCTGTGAAGAGTTTTTATGAGGATAGTGAGGCTCAGGTTAGGGGGTGTAGAAGAGAGGGAGACTACTTCCAGGTAAAAGTAGGTCTTAGACAGGGATGTGTAATGTCACCACAGTTGTTTAATATATTTATAGATGGGGTTGTAAAGGAAGTAAATGCTAGGGTGTTCGGGAGGGGTGGGATTAAATTTTTGGGAATCAACTTCAAAATGGGAATTGACAGTTACTTTTTGCTGATGATACTGTGCTTATGGGAGATTCTAAAGAAAAATTGCAAAGGTTAGTGGATGAGTTTGGGAATGTGTGTAAAGGTAGAAAGTTGAAAGTGAACATAGAAAGAGAGTAAGGTGATTTTTTTTTTTTCTCTCAACAAGTTGGCCGTCTCCCACCGAGGCAGGGCGACCCAAAAAAGAAAGAAAATCCCCAAAAAGAAAATGCTTTCATCATCATTCAACACTTTCACCACACTCACACATAATCACTGTTTTTGCAGAGGTGCTCAGAATACAACAGTTTAGAAGCATATCCGTATAAAGATACACAACATATAAGGTGATGAGGGTATCAAATGATTTAGATAAAGCAAAATTGGATATTAAATTGGGGAGGAGGAGTATAGAAGAAGTGAAGTTTTTAGAACTTTGGGGGTTGAATGTCGGGGGATGGATTTTGAAGGATAGGTTAAACATAGAATTTATGAGGGGAAAAAAAAGGGGAGCAATGTGTGGTGAAATATTATGCAGAAAATTTGGGGGTGTGGAAATTTGGAAAAGGTGTGGAGTTAAAAAAAGTATTAGTCAGGGGCAAAGAGGGGTTGTTGAGGTTTTGGCATTTTTAGAAATGGATCAAAGAGAAAGACATGGGAAAACAAAAAATCATAGGGGAAGGAAAGGGGGGTAGGGGGCGTCGTCGAAAGGGGTTTGGGGAAGGGGGGGTAAAGGTTTTTTGGGCGAGGGGCTTTTACTTCAGGAAGCGTGCGCGAGTGTTAATAGGAGTTAATGGAGACAATGGACTTGGGACCTGACGATCTGTTGGAGTGTGAGCAGGGTAATATTTAGGAAGGGGTTCGGGGAAACCGGGTTTTTTTCAATGTCACTTGAGCCGGAAAAATGGGAGTACAATGCCGCACTTTAAAGGGGGGGTTTGGGAATTGGGAGTTTGGGGGAATTTTGTGTATCTTTAAAGTATTGTTCTAAAATTTTTGTATTCTGAAGGCACCTCTCAAAAACAGGGTAATGTGTGGTGGGGTGAAAGTGGTTTTAAAATGATGAAAGTATTTTCTTTTTTGGGGATTTTCTTTCTTTTTTTGGGTCACCCTCCTCGGTGGGAGACCCCCCTTTTAGTAAATGCTTCGGGGTTTTTAAAAAACCTTTATTTTAAAATTTCTCCCCCCCCAAACCTAAATTCCCCAACTTTTTAAAAATAAAAAAATTTGGGAAAAAATAAAATTCTGAATTTAATTAGAGCAAATTTTTTATTTTCAGATATTTTTTACTCATTATGGGCAAAAAAAGGGCACAAACCCTGGAGGAAGAAGAGGCCTTAATGTTTAGCTCAAATGCTTGCTTTTTGATGGCTCACAATGGCTGGGTCATTGGGGACGATCCATTAAAAAATTTTGCTAGACCGAACTCGTATGTTTACTTGAGGAGAGAATTGGTTGCTTGGGGTGACAGTGTTAAGCTTAGGTATGGAGATCAACCTGAAGATTCTCCATATCTTTGGGACCATATGAAACGCTACTGCGAATACACAGCTCAAATTTTCCATGGTATACGTTTGGATAATTGTCACTCTACGCCTATTCATGTTGCTGAGGTAAGAAGTGTTTTAATATTATTACTATGAGTGCACTCCATTGAACTTAGTATTAATCATTCAATATTTCCCTACATCAGCATTTTTTGTCATTGACCCTTAAACTGTCGAAACGTAGATCTACATTCATACACACAGCGCTTTGAACGTAGATCTACGTTTGATTTTACATTCTTCTGTAAAAAAAAAAAAAGTAGATCTACGTTCGAAGTGCTTTGTGTATGAGCGTAGATCTGCGCTTGGACAGTTTACGGGTTAATGGTGTTCTTTAATTGTACTACAATTGACTATAAATTTTACAAATGTGTTTTTAAGTGTAATTTTTTTTTTTTTTTTTTTTATTAATGATTGGCTTATGCAACTTTTTTTGCAAGTTTGCTCATGAGGATGGTTTGAATTTTTTAATTATCAAGATATTTATTTTTTCAACAACCTGGGTATTTATTTTTCAACACCATGAGGAAGTGGAGAAGAATCCTTCCTTTGTAAGCCATGTATGTTGTAAGAGGCAACTAAAATATCAAGAGAAAGGGACTAATAACCTCCTCTTCTGTATAAACTACTAAATGTATAAAGAATAAAACTTTGTTTATTGGGTCACCCTGTGTCAGTGGGAGATGGTTGTTGTGCTAAAAAAAAATTATTTTTCAGACTGGTTGATTAATTAATTAATTAATGTCTTTTGTACAGTATATGTTGGATGCAGCAAGGAAAGTTCGACCAGACTTGTATGTTATTGCAGAGCTATTCACCAATTCTGATCTGACGGACAACATCTTCATCAATCGCTTGGGAATCAATTCACTAATTCGAGGTATGTCTTTAACATTCTGCTTGTTAATTTTTCTTTAAGTAGTGACAGTATTCCTGAACATTATTTACTTTTCAACATAATTTTAGCTACAACATTTATGTAGTACATTTGATTAAATTTTAAGTTTTTGCTTTATAATTTTTATTTCTTGCATATATATTCATGCCTTTGTAATTGAGCACCTGCTCATTTTTCACTTGAAATCTTTCCTTAATTGGTTGTTTTGATTTAGTAATCAGTTATTTGAGCCTCACTTGAAGTAGACTTGTCTAGGCATTATTCATTTTCTAGAAAACATTGTTTATTCATGCACCTTATCAGTACAGTAATTTTTATAATTAAAATTAATCTTAATTTTTGCACTTTTCTAGTGGTTCTTATTGTACACTTATTTTTTACATATATTTTAGGTTAATACAGACTGTACTATCCAACAGCCCAAATATTTAAGAGGTATTTTCGTACAGTAATTATTCATCCTTAATGTACAGTAGACATTTTCATTCCATGACGCTTCATCTTTGATTTAATCTATAATAAGCATGCTGCTGCTTATTAACTATACAATTTCTTTCAAAAATTTTGCCTTTACCAATAATTACACTCGTCCTTGTTTTCCAGTGCTCAGATTCTTCTGTTGATACTATTGCCTGTATTCATCACTTGTTCCTCCCTGGCCCTCGGTAATCCATACCTAGCCATTAATTTACGTGTATACACTTATTCATTTTATGAGAACTTTACAACTAAATAAATATATACTGGACTGATTGAATTATCAAATGTCAGTCAGTATATTTTTTTGTTGCAACATACCTGTTGTCTCCCACTGAGGCAGGGAGAGGTGAAAAAGAAGAAAACTATAGTTTATCTTCTTTTAACATTTAGTAATTTATACAGGAGAAAGGGTTACTTACTGGCCACTTTCTCCCATCAGTCAATATATTATAATGTATACTATATACAAATTGAATCTTTCCTTCATAAGCCATTCGTATCGTAATAGGTAACTTAAAATTACAGGAGCAAGGGAAGCTAGTATAAATTACTAAATGTAAAAAGAAGAAAAACTTTTTTCTTCTTTTTCGGGTAACCCTGCTTCAGTGGGAGATGGCCGACGCGTCGGCAAAAAAAAGTACATATACAAATTTTCTTTATTTGTTTTTCCTCAGAGGCTATGTCAGCTCCCAATTCACATGAAGAGGGCCGTCTTGTTTATCGATATGGAGGAGAGCCTGTTGGTGCTTTTCTGTTACCACCAGTTCGACCTCTGGTGCCTTCCATAGCTCATGCTATGTTCTTAGATCTGACACACGATAACCGCAGTCCAGCAGAGGTGCGCACAGCTTGGGATATGTTGCCATCTACTGCTCTAGTCAGTATGGCATGCTGTGCTTCAGGATCTAACAGAGGTTATGATGAGCTTGTTCCACATCATGTAAGTATTAACAATTTGATTTAAGGTCACTAATTCTACACATAATGGCAACTCAAATGAATATTTTAAGTGCTTAATTCTGCAAAAATCAATTATAACATAAATACATTTAATTGATGTTAAAAAGTTCTTACTGAACTTAGGTTGGCCTAAGGTAATTTTAATTTGTAAGTAAATTCTAGTTAGGTTAGAAAAAATTAATAATTTTTTAATGCATCTCCATCCCCCACCACCCAAAAAAAATGGCATCATTGACCACTGGCTAAAATAGTACAGCATATATGTACAATCTTTCCTAGAGGGTCCATTTTTTTTGTACAGCATTCATTCTTTTTTATATAATATATTTTAATTCTGCAAGTTCTTTGGAAACATCTCCATTACTGAATTGTATTTTTTCCAAATTTTTGGGAAATAATTTTGATATTCTGCACATCAATGTATAAAAAAATGCTAAATTCTTGTTACATTTAATTTCACATGTAGCCGTCTATACCACTGTAACTCAATTGTAAATTTAAAAAATAATGCAGATATTTTTTACCTAGAACATGGTTCCTTAAATTATAATGATCATTTTCTCTCCAACAACATTTGTTGACTGCTATGGAGCTCTTTGCCAGATTTACTTAAACTGCTGTGTTTTCAGATTCATGTGGTAGACGAGACAAGAGTGTATACAGCTTGGAATGATATCAACCCATCAAGAGGAGAGGTCAATGTTAAGAGTGGAATAATAGAGTGCAAAAAGTTACTGAACAAACTTCATTATGACTTGGGATCAAATGGATATAATCAGGCAAGTAACTGTCTCAACCCCTTAACAGGTTGGACTTTTTTTCCAGGAGGCATGAGGTAGCTAGTAACCCAAACAACACAGCTGACACCTAAAATAGCAGTGCACGGCAAATGTGAAGCTAAAAAAAAAAATTGCATATACATGTACTAGCAAGTCAAACACATTATTACTTGTGTACTGGTACAGTGGAGACAGTTAAAAAGTTAAAATTACATGAGATATAAACATTAATGCACTCAAAACATTTCAGAAATGCTATATTAAAGTGGAGCAATGGATAAGCTTATATTTAAATTTTTTGGTCGGTTAATCAATGCTCTCTCTCTCTGTCTCTGTCTCTGTCTGTCTCTCTCTGTCTGTCTCTCTCTGTCTCTGTCTCTCTCTCTCTGTCTCTCTCTCTGTCTCTCTCTCTGTCTCTCTCTCTCTCTGTCTCTCTGTCTCTCTGTCTCTCTGTCTCTCTCTGTCTCTCTCTGTCTCTCTCTGTCTCTCTCTCTCTGTCTCTCTGTCTCTCTCTCTCTCTCTGTCTCTCTCTCTCTCTCTCTCTCTCTCTCTCTCTCTCTCTCTCTCTCTCTCTTTCTCTCTCTCTTTCTCTCTCTCTTTCTCTGTCTCTCTGTCTCTTTCTCTCTTTCTTTCTCTCCTTCCTTCCTTCCTTCCTTCCTCAACAAGTCGGACATCTCCCACCAAGGCAGGGTGACCCCAAAAAGAAAATACTTTCATCATTCAACACTTTCACCTCACTCACACATAATCACTGTTTTTGCAGAGGTGCTCAGAACACAACAGTTTAGAAGCATATACGTATAAAGATACACAACATATCCCTCCAAACTGCTAATATCCAGAAACCCCTCCTTTAGAGTGCAGGCATTGTACTTCCCATTTCCAGGACTCAAGTCCGGCTATATAAAAATAACCGGTTTCCCTGAATCCCTTCACTAAATATTACCCTGTTCACACTCCAACAGATCGTCAGGTCCCAAATACCATTCGTCTCCATTCACTCCTATCGAACACGCTCATGCACGCCTGCTGGAAGTCCAAACCCCTCGCCCACAAAACCTCCCTTGCCCCTTCCTTCCAACCTTTTCGAGGACGACCCCTACCCCGCCTTCCTTCTCCTACAGATTTAAATGCTCTCCATATCATTCTACTTTGATCCATTCTCTCTAAATGACCAAACCCCTCTTCAGCCCTCTGACTAATACTTTTATTAACTCCACACCTTCTCCTAATTTCCACACTCCGAATTTTCTGCATAATATTTACACCACACATTGCCCTTAGGCAGGACATCTCCACTGCCTCCAACCGCCTCCTCGCTGCTGCATTCACAACCCAAGCTTCACACCCATATAAGAGTGTTGGTACTACTATACTTCCATACATTCCCTTCTTTGCCTCCTTAGAAAACGTTTTTTGACTCCACATATACCTCAACGCACCACTCACCTTTTTTCCCTCATCACTTCTATGATTAACCTCATCCTTCATAAATCCATGCTGTTGTTTAAAATTTCATAGATTGTAGTTTATAGAATAAGATGCAGATAATCTGCTTAACGTAAGATTAAGAAAAAATGTTTTGTCTAATATACTAGCTTTTTGGTGTATAGACATTAATTTTGTAACAGCTACTAGGGATGGGATGATATCAAAATTTTTACCAATACCTATACTAAGTTGTAGACCAGTATCAAAATTAGCTGGTACCCACAAATACCAAAACCTATACTCAATTTTAGGCCAATACCATCAAAATTAGCCACTACCACTAATACTATGGCACACCTACCACAACTGTGTTATTAATGTTCTTTACATTATTGTTCATCTTTCTTCTTTCAACAAACTGGCCGTATCCCACCGAGGCAGGATTATTGTTCATGTAGAGTTAAATTTCTCCAATACATTTCGGTGAATACTGTCTTACTCTTGCATGGTAATCTTTTTCTGAACAGGTATACGTGGATCAGGTAACCGAACATGTTGTGACTGTAACCCGCCACAACCCTGTAACTCACCAGAGTGTTGTGTTGGTAGCGTATACATCTTTCCGCCCACCATCACAAATACAAGACTCTTCTATTCGGCCTCTGAAGGTACAGGGTCGTTTGGAAGAGATAATTTTTGAAATGCAGGTTAAAGGAAAGAAGACAGGGTAAGTTTTGCACCAGCAGTGTGTGATAGCTTTTTGTGATGTTGTGATCATATCAGTGTTCAAGAATTGTGAAATGGGAAAATAAGAGGTGCCATTTGGGGTTTCAGTAATACATGCTTAGGTCATTTGTTGGTTATTGTTAGATAGGAGTGAAGGCAAGTGTTCTTTATGATTTGACATTCTATTGGAGTGAGCAAGATAACATTTATGAGAAAGGATTTGGGGAAACTGGTCAGCCAGACTTAAGTCCTGGAGGTGGGAAGTACAGTGCCTGTACTCTGGAGGAGAGGTCAGGGATATTTGTAGTTTTGAACTGTAGTATTAGTGCAGTTCTGGCAAGACAGTGATGGACTGAGTGATGGTGAAAGTGTTTCTTTTTCGTGTCACCCTGCCTCCAGAGACGACTGGTGCATTAAAAAATAATTGTGGAAGATCATCTTGAGTTTAATACACATTTAATGACAAATTCAAATGGATAGTTATAAATTCTTTATAGTCGAGTCTTCTGTAAAGGTTATAATGTGGTAAACATCATATTTTTTTTCCATTTTGTTTGGCTCTCCTATTTTAGGAGTTATGGATTGTGAAACTTGGCAGGTTTTTTGTAAAGCTGTGAAGAGATTTGTTTGGGGTTTTCAGCATTGCTTTGTCATTTATGTGGTAAGATAAATGTACCATGTAATGTTGACCTGTTGGCAATTACCAAGTGACCTCTTTGGGAAGAGGAAACCTGTTAGTTTATAAAGAATTTTCCTTTGTGGTTATTAATATGATGTTTGAGGTACTATAGGCTGAACACAACCTATATCAAGTCGTATTGTAACCCTAGGTGCTACTTAAGTCTTTATTACTGGATAAAAAGTCTAGGTGTGTGTGTGCGTGTGTGTGTGTTTTTTGTGTATTTGTGCATGAGTGCGTGTGTGCAGGCAGGGGTGAGAGGTTAGTTAAGAGTGTGTTAACACAGTATTTGCATATGCGGGTGAATTTCATAGACCATATCTCTTTAACACCTCTCTGTAATCTGGTTAATACTAACATTAATATTAAATTATAACAAAAATGAAAAGATTTGGGTGTGGGAAAAGTCATTGAGCCAGAAGAAATTAGATAATCAGAATTTGTGAATAAGGGAAACTGCAATTTTGTAGGGACAGGTGTATTCTTAATGTTACCCTGGTACAGTGTGATCAAAGATTCATACCTTTTCTTTGTTTTATTTGTAAATACAGTAGTTAAATTAGTCTACAGAAATACTGTCACAGCGCTCCAATGAGTTAATTACAAGTAATGCATTGTAATAAAATAGTTTTTTTTTCCTCGTCAAATATCCTATAAAGTTTTTTCCCAATTTTATCTTGACAGTGATGAAGACAAAAACATTCCTGGACTCTTCACAAATGATTCAGAATACATCAATGGAATAAATGGATTTTCTGTAGAAGTAAAGGAACACCTGTCACCCAGTCAGTCAAGTATGGTACGGATGACTTCCGGTGGCGATTCTGAAACTTCGGAGTGTGAATACACGTCAAATTTCACTCCTGGATCTGTCATTGCCTTTAGGTAAAAATGAAATACTGTACAGTATACATATAAAATGTGTATTACTGAAATTAGAATAGAGTAATGATAAATCTCAGAGACAAGTCACGTAAAGCCAAGTGAAAAAAAAGACAATTGCAGGAAGGAACTTTGAGACATTTTGTCTGTGAAATAAGTTTCTTAGGTCATTTTGACAGAAGCATGTTCTACAAGTGAAACTTTCTGGTAAAGTTCTTCCGTGCAATTCTCTCTTCTCCAAAGAAAAATGTTGTTTACTCCTTCATAAGTCTTAAACAATTAAGATACAGTGGACCCCCGCATAACGATTACCTCCGAATGTGACCAATTATGTAAGTGTATTTATGTAAGTGTGTTTGTACGTGTATGTTTGGGGGTCTGAAATGGACTAATCTACTTCACAATATTTCTTATGGGAACAAATTCGGTCAGTACTGGCACCTGAACATACTTCTGGAGTGAAAAAATATCGTTAACTGGGGGTCCACTGTATTTGAAGCATGTACCTGAGAGGTGCTGCACATGTGGGTGTGTGTATGTGTGTGTGCACGTGTGTGCGCTTGTGTGTGCGTGTGCGCTCGCTTGGTAAAATTACGAAACTGAAAATTGAAGTACCATTAGCTGTTTCATTTATTGGTTACTTTAAAGGTTGTGCTCCATTATACAGGACATATTTATAAACTGTTAGAGTATCACACATACAACTCTGCTCTATTTTTTTCTTTTATTTTCAGATTAAGCCTACTTCCTCGTGCTCAGTCTGCTGTGAATAAGATTCGAGCAACCTTGTCAGAGTTTGGTTACAAGGTGAGCAAAAGTTGGCACCAATAGGCACTGTTTTTTCTTTTCTTTTTTTTTAATGTTGTACATAAACTCATCAGGATCCAGTGACAACTACACACTGCCAGTCCCTTGTTTTTTCCAGTGGCACTCTAGTATTTAATGTTTATAATTCTTCAAAGTGTGTATGCAATGAATGCCTTCTTTATAAACACACAAATAACGGTTTTGTCCTGTAGATTGCATTATTACATTTTGTAATGTTTTGGGATAATTATAATTTGGTTTGAATGCTATATGGAAAAACCCATATGCACAACATTTTGATGAAACCAAAGCTAATGAAAGGTTTTACAAGGTTGAGAAATATTGATGATAATACAGTAAACTACCTTATAATGTGTTGGGTACACTTCTGAAAATTGACACCTTTCAAAAAAATAGGGTTTTGTGAAGTGGAGAACTTTTTTTCTTCTCTCAATGAACTGGCCGTGTCCCAATGAGATAGGGTGACCTAAAAGGTAAAACAGAAGCTTTTCTTTTTAAATTTAGTAATTTATACAGAAGAAGGGGTTACTAGCCCCAGTGAAGAACATGTGGGGAAAAATAGGCTTGTTGCAAACGCCTCAAAATTTAGCAATTCAGTCTTTCTTGTAGTAATTTTTACCTAAAAAAATTATAAACCAAAACTTGCTTCATATTGTTAGTCTCTACTTGAAGCATTTAAGTGTTGGAAGGTTTAACCTGAGCCAACTGGGAACAGTTTGGTACAGGCTGTACATAATGGGCATCCATAAAAATAAAAGCCACATTTTCTTATCAAATTTTACCAAATATATGGACAACACCCCACACTTATACCAAACATACATACACACACTAAAGAGTAATTCATTTGAAAAAGTACACACCAAGAAAATAAAGTAATGAAGCACTGACATAAAATGTGGAAGGTTGTCTGGCAATGAGAGAGAATCTGCTGACTGGCTGTGGTTTTCAGCAATATTGTGGGATTCCAGATTTCTATATCTAACTTTAAAGCCTGTACATATCCAATTTTTCTCTAACATTTATTTTGGAGGCAGTTAAAAAGGAATAATAATAAAAAATTGTAATCATATCAGTGACTGATTTCAGAGTTTTTATTCTTCATGTTTAATATTGTACCCACACGCAGACATGCACACCCCCCTACCTACCTGCCTGCCTTGAAATGTCTTAAAAGATTGCTTTGTTATGATAGTGTAATACTCCACAGTATTAAATGTAGAATACATTATTATACAGATATGAGTTATTTAATATCTCTTAAACTTTTTTTCTAAGCAAAAGTCTTCACTCTATAAAAGAAAGTGGGTTTGTGGTGATACTGATGAAGATGACTGCATCAATGATTTTCTGTTTAACTAGGAAAGGCTTAAACAATTTTTTATTCATAAAGTGAAGTGGAAAAAAAAATACTGTTTACATCAAACAAAAATTGATGATACTCTTATAAATTTTCAAATTTAATTGTGATAATTTTTTTTAACATATTAAAACAATGATACTTATTACTGACCAATCAGATCTGGTTTTAAAATGGCTTTAATTTCATGCTTAACAAGGGTGCACTTGATGTAAGTAGAAAATTTGTTTTGCTTTATCTATTAAAAATGCATTTCATTCATGGAATTCTGATTGTACTGTAATTTGATACCATTAGCTAGTACATATTTTATTTCAAACTATCGCAGTTAGAAAAATATACATTATGCCTTTCTGACTTTGTGTATCTTAGGCTCAAGAGCTTTTTAAGTAAAAAACAGAAATAAATCTATATCCTGTACATACAGTAAGCATGAAGCAAGTGCTCAGCTAGTTGGAACAGCTGAGCTTAGAACAACTATTACTGAAGCTCCAGTAACAGGATCACTCAGATTTATATCCATATATTGACACTGTGGCACCATAACTCATTAGTGATCAAAATTTTAGTGCTATATTTGAAAAATCTATGCATGGATTTTTTCTTTTTTGGTCACATTAATTTTTACCTAGGGCATATAAAATGTTTCAGTAGCTGGCACTGTGATTTACTATGCATATCATTGGGTATAACTAATATCTACTTTGCCCATGCAAACACCAGTTGGTGAGTGTTAATCTGTTCTCCCCTCCCATTTTATGAAGAAGGTACATAGGTCAGCCTGTATAAAGAAATTCAATTTACACTTAAAAATTAATCTTTCCGTTATACACTGCTCCATCAAGAGTAGGCTCAGGGTAGTAGAATTGTTCAAAGATGTTTCATAAATTCACTACTATTTTACCACACAGGCTTTTCTAAGCAGCCATAGAAGTAGGGATGTTATGTGGATAAGAAAATGTCTTGTTCACATGTTGGTATAAACAATACCATGGGCGGGGATAGAATCTGCGGGTTCTATCCCCGCCCGTGGTATGGTTTGTTTGCACTCTTGTCATTACGATTTCGTGAGTCATGTTGGTATAATTTACTTTAGGGATACAAGTATTGTAATGACAGTATAAAAGAGGCTACAGAATTATCAGCCTGTAGCAATTAAAATATTTTTTTACCCATAATAGTTACTTTTCTTCAGATAATTGTGACCAATCAATTTATTTTTTCAGTCCAAAATCTCCGAAGTCACAACTCACAATGCTGTATTATCAGATATTGTGAGCAATCTCACTTTGGTAGATCTTAACCGTGTGTTGTACCGTTGTGAAGAGGAAGAAAAGGATGAAGGCCGGGGCTCAGGAGCATATAATATCCCAAACTCAGGACCAATGGTTTACTGTGGCTTACAAGGTAAGCATAGCTATCGAGTAAAAAATTAAACGTGAAAGTACTATGTAATAAACGTAAAACATAGTACTCAAACACTTGATAATATTGTGCGGATTGTAAATCATTAATAGCTGCAATTAAAAGGAAATATTACATTAAAACTAATCTAGATAAAAATGTATGTTAAAAAATATACTGCATATACAGTAGGGCCCCACTTATGGCAGGTTAGGTTCCAGCAGACGTTGCCGGAAAGCAGAACGCCATTTTTTCCACTTATAAATGCATGTAAGTGCCAGATAAGTTTACACTAACATATATTAAGTTAGCAGTAGAACTTAAAAAACAATAAAAAGTAAAATACACACACTACACTCATTTACCTGAGAATATTTGTAGTCTGAATGTAGTATTTATTGTAAAAAATCAGGTGTGGGTAGGTATGGTAGCCCTCCTGGCCACCCCACCCACACATAATATACTACGTTTAAAGCACCCTAGAGTGATAAAATGCATATACAGTACACTCATCATTTACCATTAAAATATTTGTAGTCTTAATGGTCTTAATGTAAGATGAGAGGTGAAAAGTATTTGTAGAAAGTCAGGTGTGGGAGGTAGGGTAGCCCACCTGGCCATCCCACCCACACAGAGTACTATGTAAACAAACGGACAGTGTCTGGTTATGGTTCGTACAAACACCTCTCATTATATACAGAGGTACAGTAGAATAAATAAAGACCAACACTTCCATTCTCATGCAACACCATTTTTAGAGTGAATGATATTATCATTATTATTATTATAATCATAAAAAGAAGCACTAAACCCACAAGGGTTGTGAATAGTTAGTGAAGGCATACAAAAGGAATATTTTTCTACAGTTAAGTAACTGGTGTTTGACTAGAGAAAACATAATTCTTCTGGCACATCTATAAACCACTTGGTAAACAAATCTCATATTTGTCAATTTTTATATTGTTGGTGTATATATAGTGTTTATTACAGAATTTTTAAAAAAATATCATAGATGGATTAATGGAAATGTCTATATTAACATAATATACGACATTTAATGCGCCCTAGAGATTATTATATGGCATCAAGAGTAGAGAGACTTAGTGATTTTAATGTGTACCTGCACGCCAACACAGTGTGTAAGTAAATTTAGATACAGGTACACAGAAGTATAATTATCAGAGTACATAGTATAAAATATGCAGTAACTTTAAAACACTTAAAATTTTGGAAAATTTCCAGACATAATAGATATATGTTCTCACAGAGAATGTAAACAAACCATATTAGAAAGACCATTCTCAATATAGCAAGTCTTGGTCATAATTTGAAATCTCCGTATTAGCAGAACACTGTAAGGCGAAACGCCGTAAAGCAGGGCCATACTGTAGTACTGAAAGGCCAAAACATAAATTAAGGTAACATTTTAAGATTAAGATGACTCATACTTGTGTTAAAAATAAAAGCTGTAAGACTGTTGTGCCTTACTTTCAGGTGTGATCTCGGTGCTAAGTGAGATTCGTGTGCTTAATGATCTGGGTCACCCACTGTGTGGGAATTTGCGAGATGGTGATTGGTTACCAGATTATATTGTGGCTCGTTTGAAGTTGGAGCCCTCAACCCAACGACTTGCTGTATGGCTTGAGGTAAAGCAAATTATATAATCTGTAGTATTACCTTCATTTTCTCTCTAGTTATTAGATAGGTAAGTATACATGTAGCCATAAGTGAATAGCCAATATCTTTTTTACTTTAGTTTTTAGCCTTCATGCTATCTCAAGTTGGGTTCATTCTGTACTTTTTTTACATACTTATGTGCACCTGAATTTTGCTTCCTTACATTGGCAGTGTTTATATAAATTTACTCTTGTTTCTGCTTCACACTCCTGGTTGAAAATTAATCATTTCTTAGATGGATCATCCTCAGAATTCGTCTCATCACTGTAGGTAAGCCAGAAAATTCATCAAACCTTCATAATTATCTTTTCTGTTCACCAGTCTCTTTGATTCTCTGTCCTGTCCTTTCAACAGGCAGCAGAATGTCAACACAGGGATCTGCTTGCTCCAAGGGACACTCCATATTCATTTTTCTCTATATGTATCTGTTTTACTGAACATAACATCCAGACTCATTGGTTTGCCATTCCTCTTAATCTTGAGGGATTTGTGGCATAAAAAATTAGTTTTAAAATGCCAAGTCCAGGTAAGTGTGCTGTATTGTACAGTAACTTTTGTACTGATAGAAATAAGTTGCATGCCATTAAATTATAAACTTAAAATGTATTGCAGGAGGTGTTTGGATGGCTAAAGGATGTTCCACGCTATCTCATCCCAGCTTACTTTGATTCCATTGTGACAAGTGTCTATCTTACTCTCATCAACAGAGCATGGTCACTAATGGGAGAGTAAGTATACTGTGTGGTACTGTTGTTTCTTAAACTAGGAATGTGATGTGTACCAGTGTCTAAAAGACTTTGGAATAGAGAAATACAAATTACTTAACAAGAGGTAAAAATATTTAGAATACCTCAGTACACTCCTAATATCTCTCTCCCAACAGATTTGTTGCTCAGGGTTCAGATTTCGTAAAGGCTTTAGGTCTGTGCTCTGTACAGTTCTGTGGCATTGTGAGATCTGCATTATTGCCTCAATTATCACCAAATTTAGCTTTACCTCAGCCTCCAGTTGTCTCGGATGAGTCAGAGGGCCAAATACAGTTATCTTCTACTATTGCTGCTGGTAAGCTCTTGAAAATTTACATTGTTGTAATTTACAGGTTTATAATAGCTTTATAGAAGTTTAATTTTTGAGAGGCTACTGATATAACAGTTTAAAATTAAAATTGTATTGCACTAATATCTTCTCAATGTAAAAATTGATTATTCTGTTTTCCAGGACTCCCACATTTCTCTATCGGCTATATGCGTAACTGGGGCCGGGATACATTTATTGCTTTACCTGGCAACCTCCTCATCACAGGCAGATATGATGAAGCCAGGTATAGATATATCGTGTTCCAGTGTTTTTACTGCTGTATTTAAAGCAAGTATGCACATGTTTTTATGAGGATAGTGAGGCTCAGGTTAGGGTGTGTAGAAGAGAGGGAGACTACTTCCCAGTAAAAGTAGGTCTTAGACAGGGATGTGTAATGTCACCATGGTTGTTTAATATATTTATAGATGGGGTTGTAAAGGAAGTAAATGCTAGGGTGTTCAGGAGAGGGGTGGGATTAAATTTTGGGGAATCAAATTCAAAATGGGAATTGACACAGTTACTTTTTGCTGATGATACTGTGCTTATGGGAGATTCTAAAGAAAAATTGCAAAGGTTAGTGGATGAGTTTGGGAATGTGTGTAAAGGCAGAAAGTTGAAAGTGAACATAGAAAAGAGTAAGGTGATGAGGGTGTCAAATGATTTAGATAAAGAAAAATTTGATATCAAATTGGGGAGGAAGAGTAGTATGGAAGAAGTGAATGTTTTCAGATACTTGGGAGTTGACGTGTTGGCGGATGGATTTATGGAGGATGAGGTTAATTGTAGAATTTGAGGGAAAAAAGGCGAGTGGTGCGTTGAGGTATATGTGGAGTCAAAAAACGTTATCTATGGAGGCAAAGAAGGGAATGTATGAAAGTATAGTAGTACCAACACTCTTATATGGGTGTGAAGCTTGGGTGGTAAATGCAGCAGCGAGGAGACGGTTGGAGGCAGTGGAGATGTCCTGTTTAAGGGCAATGTGTGGTGTAAATATTATGCAGAAAATTCGGAGTGTGGAAATTAGGAAAAGGTGTGGAGTTAATAAAAGTATTAGTCAGAGGGCAGAAGAGGGGTTGTTGAGGTGGTTTGGTCATTTAGAGAGAATGGATCAAAGTAGAATGACATGGAAAGCACATAAATCTATAGGGGAAGGAAGGCAAGGTAGGGGTCGTCCTCGAAAGGGTTGGAGAGAGGGGGTAAAGGAGGTTTTGTGGGCAAGGGGCTTGGACTTCCAGCAAGCGTGCGTGAGCGTGTTAGATAGGAGTGAATGGAGACGAATGGTACTTGGGACCTGACGATCTGTTGGAGTGTGAGCAGGGTAATATTTAGTGAAGGGATTCAGGGAAACCGTTTATTTTCATATAGTCGGACTTGAGTCCTGGAAATGGGAAGTACAATGCCTGCACTTTAAAGGAGGGGTTTGGGATATTGGCAGTTTGGAGGGATATGTTGTGTATCTTTATACGTATATGCTTCTAAACTGTTGTATTCTGAGCACCTCTGCAAAAACAGTGATAATGTGTGAGTGTAGTGAAAGTGTTGAATGATGATGAAAGTATTTTCTTTTTGGGGATTTTCTTTCGTTTTAGGGTCACCCTGCCTCGGTGGGAGACAGCCGACTTGTTGAAAAAAAAAAAAAAATGCACATGTAATAATAGGCTTAACTTTTATCTTTATACTTTTTTAAAAGTTGTTCTAACACTGTCATCTAAGTTGGGTTAGTCTTCCACTTCAAACTTTATTTATTTTTTACATTTATGGAAGTGCTAAACTCAGTGGCTATACAGCATCAGGGGAATGAGAGATATGTAATCAGATTCAGTACAATGAAAGGGAAGATAACTCCAAGTCTTTGGCTCAAAAACTCTTTGCCATTGCCAGAACACTTCCCTCGAAGTGTTAAGCTGTAATGCTGCATCTACCCTGTTTATATTAAAAGATTTATTCTATTATAAATATTGTACTGTACCTATTAAATAAGTGTTAACTTAAGACATGCCCGGAACATTGCACGTAATGTTAGCTTTGCCAGAAATAGTGTATTGCTGGTGCAACTTCCCTACCTACTTACTCGCCTTTCTTTCTCTTTCTTCCAACACACCTGCCGTATCCCACCGAGGCGGGGTGGCCCAAAAGGAAAAGTGAAAGTTTCTCCTTTTACATTTAGTAATATATACAGGAGAAAGGGTTACTAGCCCCTTGCTACTGGCATTTTAGTCACCTCTTACAACACTCGTGGCTTATGGAGGAAGAATTCTGTTCCACTTCCTCATGGAGGTAAGAGGAAATAAACAAGAACTAGAAAGAAAATAGAAGAAAACCCAGAGGGGTGTGTATATATATGCTTGTACATGTATGTGTAGTGTGACCTAAGTGTAAGTAGAAGTAGCAAGACGTACCTGAAATCTTGCATGTGTATGAGAGAAAAAAGACACCAGCAATCCTACCATCGTGTAAAACAATTACAGGCTTCCGTTTTACACTCGCTTGGCAAGACGGTAGTACCTCCCTGGGCGGTTGCTGTCTACCAACCTACTACCTAGAACCTACTCACGTATCAATATAAATACTTGTATGCTATCCCCATTGCTTTGTATCTTGCTGAAGAGGACCTCAGCTAGAAGTCAGAATATGTAGACTATCATTATTTTTCTCTTCTGTAGGATTTCTTCTCCGAGTGTTTACCTGGAGAGAGTTCCGGGGGTCAATGCCCCTGCGGCCCGGTCTGTGACCAGGCCTCCTGGTGGATCAGAGCCTGATCAACCAGGCTGTTACTGCAATTAATATCTTACTCGTGTATGTACTGTATTTGAAGAACAAATTCCAATTCTATATCATGACATCTTCGATGCAGTACCAAACATGAACTTGTTGACAGCTGGTGGAAGTCTCGGGGTTGGATGACACTCGTGGGCCATTGAAAGTCTGATTATGATAGCAGAGTGGAGATTGCACCCAGTTGTAGGGCTCTGAACTGGTAGTGGATGATGCTTCATAGGTTTCAGAAGTTCTCTGTCCTTTATGAAATTTGTAATTTTTTAAAAAAATTTTTTTGCAGTATTTCCTAAATATAATATTCTTTGTATGTTTATTTTATGCATTTATTGAGATCTCATATTTGATCGAGATTGCTCAAAAAATATAGATTTTAATATTTACAAGTTTCTTTAGGCTAAATTATAAAAAATTAGATTAATTTTTTTACCAAATGCATTGAGATTTTGTGTATTTTCTTAATGATTAATGTATGTGTGGAGAGGTTCTGCTGCTTTTGATGGAGATGGGTTACAAACTGTTGATTAATTATGTTCTTGGGCTGTGGTAGCCACCCCTTCTGTCTTACTGAATGTATCATTGAGGCATAGGACATCAGGAGTTTCGCTCATTCACATTACACCCCTCTCGATTATCCTTACTACCATCCTCCCACACTGTACACCCACGCACCTAATATCCTCACCAAAATAGTGAGGGAGTTGTAAGCACAAGCATAATATTTAGTTGGATATATGAGAAAAGGTGAGATTGAATAGTTGAGTGAGAATGAGAGGAAGTAATCTAAAACCTGCCCACTTCTATACATCAGTTACACCATTCTTCCCACACCACACACTTGACCACAACATTGAGGAAGTGATGAGCCTATTGTGTTATACAGTGAGAGAGAGAGAGAGAGAGAGAGAGAGAGAGAGAGAGAGAAAGACAGCCCAGTCCACTTGCTGCCTTTCCCTTCACATCTGCATTGTACTACACACACTATTGTGGCTCTGTTCTATTTAATTGACATGTATACAATAATTAAACAATGTTTAATACAGTATGTAAATGAAAAGAACAGTACTGAATGTAAAATATCAGGCAAATATTCTTAGTTGAAAATGAACATAGATAAGAGTAAGGTGATGAAGGTATCTAACGATTTAGATGAAGAAAAATTGGATATCACATTGAAGGAAGAGAGTATGGAAGAAGTGAAGTTTTCAGATATTTGGGAGTTGACTTGTCAGCAGATGGGTTTATGAAGGATGATGTTAACCATAGAATTGATGAAGGAAAAAAGGTGAGTGGTGCATTGAGGTATCTACGTAGACAAAAAACATTATCCATGGAGGCAAAGAAGGAAATGTTTGAGAGTATAGTGGTACCTACACTCTTATATGGGTGTAAAACATGGGTTGTAAATGCTGCAGTGAGGAGGAGGCTGGAGGCAGTGGAAATGTGTCTAAGGGCAGTGTGTCATGTAAATGTTATGCAGAGAATTTGTAGTGTAGAAATTAGGAGGCGGTGTGGAGTTACTAAAAGTATTAGTTAGAGGGTTGAATAGGGGTTGAGGTAGTTTGGTCATTTAGAAAGAATGGAACAAAGTAGATTGACTTGGAGAGCGTATAAATCTGTAGGGGGAGGAAGGTGGGGTAGAGGTCGTCCTCGAAAAGGTTGGAGGGAGGGGGTAAAGGAGGTTTTGTGGGTGAGGGGCTTGGACGTCCACCAAGCGTGCATGAGCATGCTAGATAGGAGTGAATGGAGATGAATGGTTTTTGAAACCTGACAAGCTGTTGAAGTGTGAGCAGGGTAATATTTTGTGAAGGGATTCATGGAAACCTGTTAACCGGACTTGAGTCCTGGAAATGGGAAGTACAATGCCTGCACTTTAAAGGTTGAGTTTGGGATATTGGCAGTTTGGAGGGACATTTATACTAATGTATCTGAATGCCTCTGCAAAGACAGTGATTATGTATGAGTGATGATAATTTTTTTTTGTGGGGGGGGGGGGGGTTCTTTCTTTTTTGGTCACCCTGCCTCAGTGGGAAATAGCTGTGTAAAAAAAAAAAATGTAATATTATGGCTCAGGAATGCATTTCTGATTATAACTTGATGTCTATGTCTGTTCCAAACACTTGTGTACACGCAAACAATTTTCAAGAAAACAGGCCACGTGTTGAAAACCAAAATACAATACATAATATAAATAAAAAATACTAGTCAACCTGAGTATAAAAAATTTTTCTTGAATACTGTATCACAATATTGTAACCAATTCAGGTACTGACCAGACCCAACCAAAGTTAACCTGACTGAGCATCATGCACAGCCACAGAACTATGTGCTAGCTTTAATTGTGAAGTTTTGTAGTATTTTATTAGCTAATTTTATTGGTACTGTTATGTATTTTGGCATTTAATATTTGGTAAGTGACTATAATAATTATGGCAATCTTATAAAATATTTACAGTATTTACAACCCTTTTGGTACAATGGCTTTCACATTTAAGGCAGCATCTTTAATTAAATTTTGATATTGCGGAAAAAAAAAATTTCAAAGGTACTCCACTATAGAACAAAATAAATAAGAGCTGGAACAGAGCAGAAAATATTTGAACCACTTAATTGAGTGGAAGAGGAACATAACAGACTTTGCATAAAAATGGAGGGCTACTTCAGCAGGCCTACTGGCCTATGTTAGGCAAGTCCTCACACCCAACCCTTATCAGTCATATATTTGTTCAACATATTTTTAAAGCTTTCCAAAGTTTTAGCTTCACAAGAGCTTAGTGATTGCAACAATATTACTATCACACCCTCAAGGTAAATGATATGAATGCCAGGTAAGTGATAGTCTTTAAGGTATGTGTACACTGTAGATTGGAATATTGCTGCACTGTACACTAACAGCCTCCTTTAAGAAAGGCAGGCAAAATTGCTGAAGTGAAAAATATACAGAGATGTATCACTGTCCATATCAGTTTGGCCAAATACACAAATTACTGGGAATGCCTAAGGCTCCTCAGACTGTGCTCCTTGGAATGCTGGTGAAAGGCGAATCATAATTTATACTTGGAAAATTCTGGAGGAACCAATTCTAAATCTGCTTGCTGAAATTAAGTGTGGGAAACTTAATAGGTGCAGAAAATCTCCCCAATGACAAACTGGGATGCAGAAAGCACACTAACTTGATAATTATAAGAGTCAAGAGTTTTCAACACATTCTCTGAAATGCAGTACATGTATAAGGAAAATTGCTAGCAAACCTGTCTTCACGAGACCACCTGTGAAGCTCTTCGGGTTAGTTCTTGATCAGCCTGGTTAGTGTATTTGTTAGACTCCATGCTTCTGCCACCATCAACTTGACTGATCAGATCCCAGACCAAACCTGAATCAACAAAGGTAGACAACAAATAGATACACTATTTGTACTGTTTTTACCAAATCTGGCAAATGTGTGTGGAAGCAAGGATTTTAGAGTACTATTCCCCTATGTATTTTCATACTCTTGCACTTATATTTTAGGTGGATCATCTTGGCATATGCTGGCACGATGCGACATGGTCTTATTCCAAATCTCCTTGATGGGGGAAAGAAAGCACGATTCAACTGTCGAGATTCTGTTTGGTTCTGGCTCCAGGCTATCCAGAGGTGAGCTACAGTATATTGTACAATAGACTGTACTGTATTGTAATAACTTTTTTCTTTTTTTTCAAGATTACTGTATTTACCTAAATAAATTAAACATTTTTGTTTCATTTACTAATACATTTTATAATTTCTCAGGTATGTGACAGTTGCTCCTAATGGTTACCAGATCTTGAAAGACAAAGTGTCACGCCTTTTCCCTACTGATGATTCTTCCCCTCAAGAAGCAGGCAAATATGTAAGTGTAGTGTGAGCCAAATTATCACTTTATTTACCAGTTAATGCATAAATTATTTAGGCAGTGTGAAGAAGGCATTCACATTTAATATGATTAAAACATTCAGATTATAAAAGCATAAGTAAGTCTCAAAATATGGCAAATATTAGGCAATATGGAATTTCAGTCAATATTTTTTAAAAATGCCACAACAGTATCAATTCATTCTACTTAGGATCAACTACTTGAAGATGTGATACAAGAAGCACTTCAGCGCCATTTCCAGGGAGTGGAATTTCGTGAGAGAAATGCTGGTTTCCAGATTGATCGTCAGATGAGCAATGAAGGCTTCAATAACCGAATTGGAGTTGACTGGGAAACTGGTAAGTTATTGTCTGTTTATCTATATGAAAGGGAAACTATCAGTTACTATAACTAATCTTGCCAAGTGCTGAATTCTCTAGCTTCCTGGATGTTTTCAGGATAGTCTTAAATTGCTAATTTTAACAAATTAATATTTTGCATTGCCAATACCATTCATAATTAGACTTTATTTATACTTGTAAAAAATTTCATTCATACTTAATAGGGTGTTGTCTCCCAGTTCCACATCATTAACAACAGACTCATACTGGTTGTCATCATATCCCTTGACCCTTTTGGTGTCGGTCCCATTGTAGTACGACTTTGAAGCCAGGGTTGGTCCCGTAGTACTATGCCATGAGTTCAGCTCACCCAGATAAGGTGCGAGTGGTAAATTTAGGCCTAGATATGAGGGAATGGGTCTATGCAGTAAGTGTGCACCATATAAAAAAAAAATCCTGCAGCACACAGTGCATAATGGAAAAAACTGTGACCATGTTTTTGGTTTAAAATGGCAAATTTACAGTGTTTTTTGTAATTCTCATGGTTGTATTCTCTGTTTCTTGGTCTTATTTGATAGAATGGAAGATATATTACAGAAATAGAGATGATTTTAACTGGTTTCAGGGCTGAAAGTAGCTTAAAATTGAGCTCAAAATACCAGAAATGTTAGTTTTACCAGTATTCCAGAGTACACAATACACGTCCAACTGGCCATTCTGATAAACATTTAGGAATACACTGACATTGTTTGTAAAATTATTACAATAATGCTGTAGTCTGCATAAGAGTAAATATTCTATTTTTTTCTGTGAATAAAAAATTCAAAATGGAACACAAGTGTAATATAGGAGAGGCCTGAGGACATGACTAATGAACACAGGAAATGTTATTTTAGTGCCAGGAATGTCTGCATTGTTTATTCTGGACCATATTTTGAACTTGGCATTTATTGAATTTTGTGTGAAATTGGCCAAATTACCAATTCCTGATCACTTTACTGATTATTTATAGTTGAATGGGCAGTTTCTTGTACTCATTCAATAGAATGGAAAACATACTAGCAAAATAGCTAAGAAATGATGGAATTGGCCTAAAAGTGGACTCGAATTGGACGAAATCGCCGATGCGTAAATATCGCTGACACAACAAAATTCACGAAAGCGTAATTTTATCAGTTTTTAATCAAATTTTGTACTTCTTTTATTACCATAGGAAAAAGATTCTCTACCATTTCATGAGATTTTTTATACATTTTGCAATCCTGAGAGCAAGTTTGAGAGCAGGGGTCTTAACCCTGGAAGGGTTAAAACATCTGTAGCTACGTTATTTTATCAGTCAAATTGATTTCTGATACAATATTATATATAAACCTTTTGTGTGTCAGTATGTAGAATATTTCTCACTCACTGTATATTTCATAGCAGTTATATAATTGCTATATACTGTAACTACCATAGGACCTGCATATCTGCAGGGAATATGTTCCAAGACCTACAACAGATAGCAGCGAACCCTATATTTAAGTAGTTTTTCATTTACATACATATTTACGATAAAGTTTAATTGATAAATTACACAATAAATTGAGAATTATCACTTTTCACTGATGGGAAGCACTTTACGATTTCTCTTAGGCTTTGAAAAACTGCCAGCATCACTACTTTTGTATTTTAGGGCCATTATTTAGCAAAATTAAGTGTTATTTTTGGGCCACAGTAAACCATGGATAACTGAGACCACAGTACCCGGACCTGCGGATGTGGTGGTCCTACTGTACTATATATCAGTTAAATAGTAGTTATATTGCAGAGTTTTAGCAGTTATACATGTATAATGATGAGGAATGTACATAGAAAAGTGAGTTTATATGAACATTTATTACAGTACTTTGCTCTGATTGGAGGATACATTTCAGCCACTTTTACAATCATTTATTCCTTACATCTTGTTACACCAAATGAATGGTAAATATAATAAATTTGCCTTTCTGGGTACAGATTCTCTGAACAATAAATGAATATTAATTTCCCCAAGTGTATAAGCTATGCAGTTTGCTAACTACTCAGAAGTTACATTACAGTAAGTTGTCATTGACTTCTTTCCTTCATCGAGACACCAGGTTAACCTGTCATTGGCATTAACCCCAAGAGATTTAATAACCCAGGATAACCCAAGTTAAGCAGTACTCCCCCCCCCAAACCCCCACCCCATAATCTTGATTCTCAAGCTTGTAATGCAACTGAGAACCACCGACTAATGCCCAAATACTACTTGCTGCTGGGTGAACAGGGGCTGCAGATGTGATGAAGCAGGAAATGATTGATTACTGCACCTCTCTTCTGCATGCACATTTAGAATATTTAAAATAATAGACAATTCGGATGTGGAAATTACTAAGTACATGTGCAGGTTTATACATAGCACTGCATTAATTATTGGAGGGTTGCATTAATGCTGAAGTTAAGCCAAATAACTTGACATTGCCATTGGCAAAGTTCCTCCCTCATAGGCCAAACATGACCAAAACTTGACTTCCATGGTATTAAAAAAAAATTATATAATGTATCAACATTATATTCATTTCCTCGCTTTTTACAGCTGATGATTCAGAGAGAGAGAGGAATAGGATATGAAAACTGCACACATTGACAGCTAGGAATACGAAACTACCATTTTAATGTTGAAGTTAAAAAAAAAAAAAAAAAAAAAAAATTGAATTTCAAAGGTTACATGTGCAAATGTAACTTTTAGGATTATTAAATCATTTAATTTGTCATTTGACAGGTTTTGTTTATGGTGGCAATATCCATAACTGTGGCACGTGGATGGACAAGATGGGATCAAGCGACCTAGCTGGAACAAAGGGTAAACCAGCAACCCCTCGTGATGGAAGTGCAGTTGAAATCATTGGCTTGTGCAAGTCTGCTCTACGTTTCCTGGGTCAGATGCACCATGAAAATAAATTCACTTACAACAGTGTTGAAAGACAGGATGATACAGGTACTTCAACTTTTCTTTTTTTTTCTGTACTTAATATTTGCAGAGCTTAAGCTCCAGCTTTTGAAGCCTGCTTTCTCAACTATTAAATGAGCTGATGCATCTCTAACCCCCATGGGGTTAGAGATACAGTATTTACATTGAATTTATACATGGCATTAGAATTCGTTACATTGAGTTTGTATGAAATTAGGATCCACTGCTTCCTTCCATAGTGTTTTCCCCTCATTAAATTCACATGAAAGTTCGTTCTTATATTGTATATCTGGCTTGTTAGTTCTTAGTATCCAGTTGTCATTTGTACTAGTCTCTACCTACCTTGTTCATATCTTTCATGATCTCTTATGTTGTGACTATAACCTGAGTTTTTCTCCAATGTGATATTTAATTATCTCTTCTTATAGCTCCTTTCCATTATATAAGAAACTAGCTTAGTGGCAAGTCATTGTACCTTATGAAACTTAAAAGAATCCTTGTTGAAATTCCCAAAAGCTATTCTTATATTTGCCAGTGTTGCATACAGCAGATGTTACCTTCTTTATGCAAGTCACCCACAATAGTTAGTGCTATGCCCATCTATAGGCTTTTTTGTTTCTTTAGTAACTAGCAGCCTCTCAGGTGGTATGGTACTACTGGTCTCCTTTCAGCTTTAACACTTCCTCAGGCCACCAGTTAATACGTAATTTTTTTACCTTTTCCATGTCCTCTGCCATCTCCTGCCTCCAGTTTTACACACCTTACTTTTTTTTTTTTTTTTTTTTTTTTTTTTTTTTTTTTTTTTTTTTTTTTTTTTTTTTTTTTGCAAATGTAAGAAACAGTATATCCAATTAAGTTGTTCCTATACTGTATTGAAAATAACATGGGTCAGAGAACTGATTCTGGGAGCTTGAATGAATATTGGTGTCGATACATGACTCGCTGTAAATATCCAGTTATTGTTGCTGGTCCGTAGGAGTTGATGTCTCTTAAGTTTGTTTTTTTAAGTGTTCTTTTTCCATAGTTTGCTTCTTAATTCAGGTATCCATTTTGTTGCAAGTCTAAAAAAAATTCTCAATCCTTCGTTTTTAAATGTGTACACCATACAACAGCTGTGTATTCAGCAGAAATTTGAGCATAACATAGACTGCAAGCAATTTTAGCTATCCTGCACAGTATCTAAATTCATTTAAATCTTGAAGGTAGTCTGTACTTTTTCAGATTAAATATACTAGTTAGTGAAAATTGGGCAGTATCCAACTGCATTACTATTGTTTCAGGAAATGTAACTAAGTGGACTTATGAATTCTGGGAAAAGAAGATACAGGAAAACTTTGAAAAGTATTTCTGGATCAGTGAGCAACCTTCCCCAGAAATGGAACCCAAACCTGAGCTGATCCACCGAAGAGGCATCTACAAAGACTCCTATAATGCTTCTCAATTTTGGGCAGATTATCAGCTCCGGTGCAATTTTCCTATTGCCATAGCTGTGGTATGTAAGCCTTTGAGAAGGCAGATTTTTCCCTAAAAAGTTATCACAACGGAAAGTATTTAATGAATCATAGATTTTAAGATTACCTGAGGTATACAGTACATAAGTTTAATTTTTATGTACATATTTTTCTTCAGGCTCCTGAAATGGTAAAACCTCAACATGCTTGGGTTGCACTAAAGAATGCAGAGAAGTTCTTGCTAGGTCCTTTGGGTATAAAGACGCTTGATCCCAAAGATTGGGCTTATGAGGGTAACTACGACAACTCTAACAATTCAACCGATCCCAAAGTTTCTCATGGCTTTAACTATCATCAGGGACCAGTAAGTTCACTCTGTTAACATATTCCTAGAATAGTGATGTAGATAACTTGCCAGGAAACAAATGATTAATTCAGTACTGTAAAGTTTATATAACTTCTTGTCTAGATTGCTCACTGGTCCATTGCATAGTTCTTTTATATAAATGTTTTAAAGTAATTTACTGTAATACATAAGTTACATCATTGTCACAATTTTTCAGTTTCAAAGGTAGGTAGAATGTGTCCAGCATACTAGTATGCACAATTTTTCATACCTTCAAATATCCCACCTGCCAATATTTTTCAGCTCATCACAACTCCTTTGGATCTGCTGTAATCTATTTATACTTAAAAAAAAAAAAAAAAAAAAAAGTCAGTAGACACTGAAACCAGGAACTATTGTTCCACTAGCTTCCCTACCAGCAAACGGTGTGGCATAAAAATGACTTATTCCAAATTTATTGAAATTTCATGATACTAAGTGGAATGAAGCCACAAAGCACACTTAACCTAGGATAACCTAGTTAATCAGCAGTGTGACATTTCCATGTTTGAGAGCATTACACTGATAGTTGTAATATTACAAGTATTACTTGTACAGTGTTAGGAGACCAAATTTCTTAATTCTTCGACCCCGAAAGGGTCAAGAATTATCATTATCGGTTGTCAGAGTACATAGCAAGCTCGGTAAAAATGTAATGCATAATGTTTTTTCAGGAATGGCTTTGGCCTGTTGGATGGCTTCTCCGTGCACAATTAGCAGTTGTCTCTAAGGTTGGGGGATTTGAAGAGCTTGGACGCACTTTGGGTCACGTGAAATCCCTTATGGCACCTCATTTAACATACTTGTTAAGTGATCGCTGGCGTTCACTCCCAGAGTTAACTAATGCTGAAGGTGCCCACTGCAAACATTCAAATCCAGCACAATCTTGGAGTACAGGGTGTTTACTTGAAGTAAGTAATATTAATTTTTTATACTATCGAGTTCTGAAATTTTTTTTTAAATATTGTTTAAGGGTTGTGTGTGCAAGTTAGTCACATTTTTTTTTTTTTTTTTTCTTTAGGTATTGTGGGACTTGGACCAAGTAGAACGGAGTTTAAAGCGTTCCAGCATGACAAGCATGTGAAGAGATCCGGGCTACGCCACCATCCATGCACAAGATACACCACTCCAGCAACACCCTGTACCCCCATATGCATCTTCACATTTGTGCCAAACATACCAAGCCAGTGACTCATTGTTTCAGGCATCCTCTAACAGTTTAAAGTTCCCCTCTGACAGCAACAGGCAGCACCAGAGGTTAAGTCTTCAGACAGAGCAGCAGATAGCAATCCCTGACCCAGCATATACAAGCCTGCAGCAACGAGCTCCACAAGCCAGCAGGATTGTTATCACGGCGAAGAATGTGGATCCTCTATGTTCATTTGTAAAGGAAGTGGATGTAGGCAACACAATTATATGTTATGTTCCACGTAATGTTGTGTTCAGTGAAGACCCAAACTTGTTTGATACTGTAAATGATGTTGTCCGTGTAAAGTGTTCCCAGTCTGATATCAACTTTTCAATGGCTCTTCTACATAAGCCACAGCAGCTCCCAAAACATTGTCTTGCTGTTTGGACAGTTGATGATCGAATTAGGCGGCATGCGATGTGGAGTAGCCCAGAATATGTTAACTTTAAATATGAAAAGCCTCAGGCGAGTGTGAAAGCTCCCTGGTTCCGAGGAAGAGGTGCGACAAAGGGACGCCTGTTACACCCCTCATCAAGGGGTCCAGTTTTGATAGGTCCAGTGTATCAGAGTAGATCAGGTTCAAAGAAATATCAGGGTAAAGTTCCCTCTATAGTAGCCTTACTGACAAGTCATGCAAAGAGTTACCACAAAAGTCAAAAAACCCTGATACAGCCTGATGTCCACGTGCCAGTTCCAAAGCTGTACCATGACAATCTTTCTGCGACAGAAAAAGGGTTCTGGCAGCAAAGGAGGTTTTCACCTGTTTCCCAAGAGATACAGAAAGCTCTGACTAAAGAAACTAAACAGTGGCAGGAAGAATCGCAACCAGGGATAGAAAGTGTAGTGGATTCATCTGTGCATAAAGATATTATCAATAAGGAGAAGAGATATGGCTTTAGTTACCACCTTGATCCTCCTATTACTACAGGACAGTTGCGGCCATCAATTCTCAATTTACCACCGCCACCACAGATGCCCCTACCACCAGTTCCAGAGGTTCAGGATCCTGCAGTGCCAGGTCCATCTTCAAGAAGTGATCTCTTCTCTTTATCAGGGAAGTCAGGTATGCCATGGAAAGAATTACCACCTCTCTCTCTGTCGAAAGGTCATGAAATGTACAAACCAGTGGCTTATAAAGCACAGAGAATCTCAGAGTCGGTTACATTTTTAAATCCATATACTCGACAAGCAGAACATGAACAGTCACTTAAAGATGAGAAAGCAGATGATACAACTGTAACCCCACACTCAGAAAGGCAAAGGAGAGAGTCTACATGTCTGTTTTTACCAGAAGAAGTCATCAAGCCTCATCATGTAAACAAACAAAAACTTTCTGCTGTGTTAGTTTTGTCTTTGTTTGTTGTTTCCCTTGTAATGTTCTATCTTGTTTATTTTCTTTAGTTATTCTTGGTTGTACATTTTTTTTAGTAATTTGTATAGCTTTACACTAATGCATTTTACTAGATGAACATACCTTTATGCTGTTCTGGTGGAGCTTTTGTAGGCTTAGTGTTGTAGCTTACATGACTTCCTAAATGTCTTTTAGGGGAAGATAAAAAGAAAAAAAAAGTGATTATGTGGTAAATAGGTTAAGAAAAAAGTCATGCCCCCCTGAAACTTTTGTAATTCATATTGTACATCTGATTAGGGTAGTAGAACCATTAGCCTATATAGCATGTTGTTATCACCCATGATATGCTCATGCAGGTCTAGTTATTGCATGTACTCATTACTTAGTGATATCTTACCCTGTGTGTTGCCTATTATAGATTTTTAAATACTGTTAAATGATATATAAAGTGTTGCTTTATGCATAAGGATGGTGTTGTTTTGATATTTATAGGTCATATGCATAGTTTAATGTTTATATATTTTCTTGATGCTTGAATAAATAAGTTTATTGCTGAAATTGTTTTAAATTCATATTTTTAAATGTTCTACTGTTATCACATCCAAATGGAGGTTCATAGTGATCATACATCTCTTGGGAATGGTAAGTAAATTGGAAAGGTAGCTCAAACTCCTTGGATTAAAACCCTTCCCTTTCATATTATATTCTGATTTTTTTTCTTCCCTTCAACCATGCAAGCACTACAGTAGGGAAGGCTGAAGTTGAACAATACTTAATGCCCCCAGATTTTGTTGAACTCTTCCCATTAATTTCATGGTGTGCTAAACCTGTCGAAGTCAGTGACTAGGGAATGGGAAGCAGACTCAATCCAAGAGCCCTTCACCCCCTGAAGAGGCCATACCTAATACAATTTACTCAACCTTGTGTATGTGCCTGTGACTTCCTACTTGTTCTTGCAGGAACAGAACTATGGTCATGGTCCTCTGCTAAGTTTGAAAGACTAACATTTTTTCACAAGTTGAAATTATGACCAACTAGTGAATCAGTAACAGCATTTGAAAAGCTTTTTTTTTTCACGTATTGCAAAACAGATGCCTGTATGTGATAAAATGTTACAATACCTTTCACTATATTTCTTGCCTCTGACACTGGAATCTATAACAAAATTAACACAAAGAAATCATTAAGCAGTAAAAGGCAGCCAGGACCTTAACAAGCCTGCTAAATAAAAATGCCACACCCATTTTGTTCTCTGTATCTTTGGAAACTTAAATTGCATAACAAACCCATAGCTAAGATACTCCAACAAGGAAAGGGGAGGGGGTAACTTTGCTGCAAGTGAACTGCTTGTGATCCAAGAAATTGAAGCTACCCTCTACTTTTTAACATTAAGCCTGATTAACTTCATTTCACCAGGCAAATCTGACTTCTGGCTAGCACTCATGAATACATGTATATATCTAAGACACTGCCTTGAGAGCTGTAACATGGCCTACAGCTATCACATAAATAACTCTTGACATTACTCACGATCATGTGATTACGAAAACTGTAAATGCAGTGGCCCAAAATCTGAGAGCTGACCAGAAGAAACTAATAGCTGTACATTACTAAGTTAAATTTCATAAAAATTTTCAAACATATGACTTGCAAACATTTAAAAAAAAATTATTTCAGAATAATAGACAAATAAAAACAGTAGACGCAGCTAATATTCACAAGCTGTGAAAAAGAATCTGAAAAAGTAGGGACACAATTTCTTTCCTTATGCATAATTGAGGGTTTTTTCAATTCTGCCTCGTGTTACAAATACACAACCATAATGCTACAAATAACAGTACTTAACTTACCTCTGATGATGAATATGAAGATTAATGCAAGTTCTATGAGATGTCAGTAGAATGATTCTCCACAATAGTCCTTCTCTGAAGTTGGTAGATGTAATGGTTAGTGGTGGCAAGGTACTGTTGTGGTGACTGCTGGCTGTCATAATGAGATACTGGCTGCTGCAGTGAAGTGCTGGCTCTTGTAGTGAGCTGTGGCTCTTGTGGTAAGCTGCTGACTGTGATGAGATACGGGCTGTGGTTTTTGAGGTGTTGGCTGTGCTAAGGTAGGTGCTGGTTTCAAGTGTGAAGAGAACAATGATAGGTTACCATTCCTCAACATCCTCATCCACAAAGCAGGTAATGCCCTAAAATTCCAAGTCTACAGGAAGCCTAAAAGCAAAAACGATTTTGCATACTTCTATCCCAGTTAAAAGAAGGAATCATCATTGGATCTTCCTGACAGCATACTGAATTCACAGCCTGAAGTTTCTAAATGAGTGCACATACACCAAACCTTCACTGAACTATAATTTTCTTCCCTTTTCATCAAAGACTAAGAAATGAGCCCATCAAATCATCAGTTCTCCATGCACTAGCACGGCTATAAACAACAACAGCCATCAAGCTGCCCTGAACATCTCCAAAGTACTTGCACAAGCCAACACTAGGGTTGCTATAGTAACCAGCATATTCATCAAAGACCTCAGCAAGATCAAAAGTGGAGAACTTGGAATCAGTCAACACAGGGATTTAAACAATACTATGTGGAGGCTGTGACAATGCATACATCTTGTAAACAGGACAAAACTTAATATGGTTGAACTAACACATCAATGTATGCAAAAGTGCCAGCTTGAACAATGTTTGTGTACAACACTGGAATGCCAAACATTTGACTAATATCAATGATTCCTGCTTAGCAATTACAGAACCAAATACTCGCATACAAAAATGCCTTGAATCATCATGAATCTTCATTCCAGACAGTTATACAGTAACTTTTCAATCAACAATGAAGATACCCACCATTTCACATGCATCTTACTCTTCAACCTCTGATATGCAACATCCCCATCCCTACTTAGGAGCGAAGGTGTCATGGACTTATAGTCCGGCTAACCAGTTGTCCTGAATCCCTTCATATATGTTACAATACAGACTAAATTAAGAGAATATCTGGATGGTACTAAGACAAGAAGAGGGAAGGAATGGAGGTGCAGAAACATCCTCAAGGTGTATAGTTGATCAACAGCTGAGTGATTAGAAGTAGGAGTACAAAACTATTCCAGAGATTACATATGTATGAGGGTGCTGTGGCACTAGCCTCTATAAAGGTAATATACTGTAATATTCTCTTCTGTCTTCATGAAACATCAATGACTGCTTTTGTAACAGAAGGATGGAAGGTAGTGATACAGCAGTAGAGGAGGATATAACAAAGACATGAATCAATCACAATACAGTATAGTTTTGTCTCAGGAGGAGGAAACAAAACACAAGAGGAGGGTGTGGCATGAGAAAGGAAATCTCTGCAAGTGGAAGGAATTTGGAAGATTTGAAGAGTATTTTGATTTATTAAATCATTCATTGCTCTTGGCAATGAAAAGTATATACAGTACAAACTGACATAACATCCAAAGGATAATAATGTCAAAAAAATTAGTACAAGGACAAACACAAAAGTATACAGTGGACAGTCATAGTCTGCATGATTTATGTTCCTAAATCCTGCACTACTGATTTTTCACAACTTATGGACTGAAAAATATATGGGAAAACTGGGTTGCATTTCTCAAACCTCCAAGAGAGCAATAACAAATTCTTTTTATATCATAAAAAGAATAGCTTTTCTTACCTAATGGTGTCGATGATGATGCTCTGTGAAATTCCTAAACTATGTAAGGTTCAAACAGTTAAAAGAGTACATTAGCTAAAAAAATGGTTACATTAATACTGTACATTATTTCTTACTTACCTTCAAGTCGAGTTCAAGATGCTTAACATACTGAAGTGAGAGGAGTGGGTAGCTGTAGCCCTACTGGGCTGAGGTTGAAGGTTGGGGATCTTGTAATGTTGAAAGTTGAGGATCTTGTGATGTTGAAAGTTGGGGATCTTGTGAAGATGAAAGTTGGGGATAATGTAATGTAGAAAGTTGAGGATCCTGTTATGCTGATGTGCAGCTTCATCAGCTGATTGCTGCTATGGGGTCTTCAGGTATTCTATCATAGGCCACTATTTTGTTTTACCCTATACAGTGGACCCCCGCATAACGATCACCTCCGAATGCGACCAATTATGTAAGTGTATTTATGTAAGTGCGTTTGTACGTGTATGTTTGGGGGTCTGAAATGGACTAATCTACTTCACAATATTCCTTATGGGAACAAATTCGGTCACTACTGGCACCTGAACATACTTCTGGAGTGAAAAAATATCGTTAACCGGGGGTCCACTGTAGTTCTTTATACAGCAGATGATAAGGCCTAAGCATCTGCTCCAGAGCATGATTTACAACAACGCTTTGAGATTAGTCATGGTCCTTTTCAATAAACAAGTCTGCAACTTTACCAACAGTATGCAGTGACTTGCATATCTCTTGCAGTGTCAACATCACTTCTTCAGTCACATGTTCCTCATCTTAATCGTTTTCTGTTTTCTACAGTTGGGAATTTAATTCCTGAAATGTTTCCTCTGCAGGTGGTCTCTCATCATCTTCCAAGAGTTCAATGATGGCTTTTGGCTACATACCATTAAATTCCTTACCTGGCACTCTCCTTGCCATAGCAACAATTTCTGGAACTTGACTTGAAGTTGATGAAAAAACCAACAAAATCATTCACTCACCACACTAGGCCATATTTTTCTCCAACCATCATTTATTGTTTATTCTGGTACATGATCCCATGCTCTTTTTATAATATGGAGAGTGGACCTGCAATGTTAAATTTGTGCCAAAACTCTGGTACTCCACTGTCTGTGATATCAGTTGTTCATACTAGATTATGGACCACACTGCATGTGTAGTGCCACTTAAATGTTTCAATAACTCCTCAATTCAGTGGTTGTATCAATGATGGTGGTAAAAAAAAGAACTTGATACCTGGCTCCACATCTTTCAGAAACTGAAGTTGACTATGGCAATTATTAAGGACGAGGAGAACCCTGAATGTAAGATCTTTCAGGTACAGATACATCCTCAATTCAGGAATAAAGTGATGCTTGAACCACTCAGTGAAAAAAGCCTCACTCACCTATGCCATGGCAGTGGACTTCCAAATAACAGGCAAATGCTTTTGTCTTTACCTTTTAAAGCACGGGGATTCTTGAAGTGATAAACAAGTCTCCTGATTCATTACTGCAAAGAAGCAAGTTGAAACAGTGTTTTGCAGCCTCTAATCCAGGAGCAGTTTTCTCATTTGCCGATATATATTCTAGATGGCATTTTCTTCCAGAAAAAACCTATCTCATCAGCATTAATTAAACACCTGCTCAGGTTTCTAGCCACCCTCTGCCTCCTCTTCCGTATCCAAATGATGTTTCTTCCGTATCCAAATGATGTTTCAAGTCAGAGGCCATAAGTCAAGTTTGTTATAAGAAAACAAGCTACAGCAAATTTAAAAATAAAAAGAGGCAGTGGAGAAGGATGCTGTTTTCTCTGTCAGGTAGTCTCCCATACTCCAGGTGACCCAGCACTGAGCCTTCTCCTCTTTACCCCACAAATAAAACATGACCAAATATCAAGAGCAATACCCTAAGGAGCAGGGTCCATGCAAATATGCCCCAGGAGAGTACAGGAAGGCACAGAAGAATCTAATTAATACTTTTCCTCTTGTCACTAATGCTTCCGGTGTCTACTCCATTTCTTGCTCCTAGGAACATTTGAACATAATAGAGGAGTGCTGAAGCAGGCCTACTGATCCTATGATAGGTAAACATTTCTTGCCTGCCTATTTGTCAAACCTATTTCTGCAGTTATCCAATGTTTTAGCTTCAATGACCCTACTTGGCAGATCGCTCCACTCGTCAACAACCTTGCTGCTGAACCAGTACTTTCCTACATCCTTTCTAGAGTTCAACCTTTGTCTGGAAGATTCCTTATACAGTGTATTAATTTTGTCATTTTTTCCCTTGTATATTCTCCAATGCATTTATGTCCATTCTGTAGTATGGAGGCAAGAACCGAGGTACATAGTCTAAGTGAGGCCTTACTAATGATGCATAGAGCACTTCGATGTATAGGACCCCTGGACTTCTGTGACATGTCTTGATATGAATCCAAGTAATCTGTTAGCCTCATTACACATGTTCAGGGACTGCTGTCTTGGCTTCAGACTTGTTTACCATGACTCCCAAGTTCTTTTCACATTCTGTATGATCAAATTGTATATTCAAAGTTTATTCTCTATAAAGATTACAATGTTGAATTTACAGAATTTGGTTGTTGTGTGGTTTACATGTAGTTAAATAATGATTACAGAGTGTACCACTAGAACGCCTAGCATGGCTAGGCATTTCGGGCAGACTTAGTTTAATTCTTTATTTTAAAATATTACAGATTATGAGGTAAGTTGGTATTATGGCTAAGTGACTAAATACTAGTTTGTGAGTTTAGCAATGTGAATGCTTTTGTTTTGGCACAGTACATAGTTTCAGTATTGGAGTATCATAGGATTCATTATTTTAAGATTGAGATTAATATTTCTGTTTATGGTCAAATGGGTGAGTGAGTGTAAGTGTGAACCACCAGGTGGTATTTGTGTAGTTAGTTGATGGGGTTTATCAGGGAGATAAGATGTTTTCTAATGGTAGTTTTGAAGGTGATGAATGTGTCTGCAGTTCTAGAGTTCTCAGGTAGGGTGTTCCAGATTTTAGGGCCTTTGACATACATTGAATTTTTGTAAAGGTTTAGTCGGACATGGGGAATGTCGTAGAGATGTTTGTGTCTGGTGTTATGCCTGTGGGTTCTGTCACAACTATCAAGAAAGCGTTTTAGGTCAAGGTTGATATTGGAGTTTAAGGTCCTGTAGATGTAGATTGCACAGTAGTAAGTGTGGATGTACTGAACAGGGAGTAAGTTTAGATCTATGAAGAGTGGGGGGGTGTGTTGCCAGGGATGGGATTTAGTGATTATTCTTACTGCAGCTTTTTGTTGGGTTATTATTGGCTTTAGGTATGTTGCTGCAGTTGATCCCCAAGCACAAATAGCATAGGTGAGGTATGGATAAATAAGTGAGTGGTATAGTGTGAGAAGGGCATTTTGCAGCACGTAGTATCGTATCTTGGAGAGGATC